GCATTCATCGGCATGGAAGGAGATCGAAGCAGAGAAATGCAGTCCAAGGCGAAAAGGGCAGACTAGACGTGACTCTTTTCCTCAGATCCTGGTGGTGTAAAAGACGTTTGGCGTATCCAATGCACCCTCTGTCCTTTCTGCTAAGGCAGAAGCAGATTAGCTGCGCATCCGGGTCGATCATTGTCCAGACTTTCCGTACACCGACTCGTTCTCCTTTCACCCCCTCCCGTTCTTAGGAAAGCTCTTATTTGCAAATCGACCGCCTTCTAGACCCTTTTATCCTCTTCTCCACTTCTCCTCTTCCCCTCTTCTCCTTTTCTCCTCTTCACCTCTTCACCCCTTTGGCTTTCGGCATTACTATGGAAGTGGCGGCCTCCGCGTCTGATTATGCCCTCACGACAGTTCGCAATACGAGATGGTAGACACGACAAGCGAGGTAGAGACTAGCTCCACGTTTGCTCTGTCTTCTCTCCATATTATCGTTTGTCTCCCATCTAGGACAGTCCATCATAAAGCATCGTCAGTGCACAGACGCTTTACTCGCTTGCCGTGTGTTCCCCTTTACACCGCGTTTCGTACGTGAAGTATATCCTTTCCCTTTCAGAGTGATGACTTTACGACGTACTACGCGTGTTTTTTATTTTTCATGCAGTCTTGGTACCTCCATCGCTTCTTTTTTGTGCCTCTGGAAGTCGGATAGGCAGCCGACAGGGCGATCGTTGCAAGTGCTTGTCGCCCTGTAAGCCACCATGCAAGGAGAGTGGTTCTTGAAGAAAGAAAATGATAGAGGGAAAACGGGCTCGGGATGATACTGGCCGAGACACGGCCTGCAGAAACAGAAATAGAAACAGCAAGCGACCAAGCGATCAATTTACAAAAAAAGCACTCTATAAAGAAAAGGAAACCGCAGGGAGTCTGCAAGGCGGCAATTCACGATGCTAAACTAAATTTTTGCAGTCTGCAGCAGACTGCGGCGGCTGAGAGCGAAAGTGTCGAGCCGCACATGGACGCAAGACGGGCGGTTGAATATATTGAGGTCCAGGAGACGAGGTAGGGAGAGACACAAAAATAGGATGCACGAACAAGGTTGAAAGAGAAGCCGTGTCAAGCCCCTTGCACGTACTTTGTATGCATAAAGTATCGCCAGATGCAGACACCGCCGTCTTTCAGCAATACACGTCCACACCCGACTAGGATATTGTGTGTGCCATGTGAAAAAAAAAAAAAAAAATACAAATTTAAAAAAAAAAAATCAAATTTAAAAAAAAAAAATCAATGAAGCCCTCGGCCCTGTTGCGTGATCCGTTCTCCGTCTTCCTTACTCGTTGAGGACTTTTACTTGCCGCTTTTCCAGGTGCCGACATGTGTCAACAAACGGGAGAGCAACATCAACAATGCGAACTGCCGCTTGGTGTGGCTGCACGGCCAAACAGACATCTACAAAAAAAGTGGCGATCTTCTATGCAGGTGTCCCCTTTTGGATCGGCCTCGCCTCCTGGTGCGTGGGCATACAACGCCTCGAACCGCATTCTCGTTAGTTGCGGCGACGCCGTGATCGCCGTCCTCGGTTTTCTTTGTCCTAGCCGCGCGGGATGTCTCTGGTCTGTTTGGCTCTGTTTGATTCTGTTTTTATCGATCCTCCCTTTCTTCCCCCGTCCCTTCTTTGACCCCTCTCACCCCTTTCATCCCTTTGCCCTACTTGTCTTGATCCCTGGTCACTTTATCCTTCTGTCTTTGTCTTCCGTGCTTCTACTCCGTACGACAGATGCTTCCCCCGCTACCATACTCGCACTTTATATTTCTCTTTGGCTCCATACCTACGAGGTCAAACAAGAAACCGTTACATATGCAAGGCCCCTTTGACAGATCCAACTGTCAGCTGGCGTCGTGCATACACGCAAAATCAACATCAGTGGCCACCTGACCAATCATGTCTAGGAAGGTAGGGAAAAGGGAGTCGTAGATGGTGGACTGTATGGTCTCATCAATATGACGAGTGTCTTCTACGAGATAATCGTGTTCCTTGACCGAGCCACGGATATGACAAGACTTGATCCTCGAAAATAACCATATGGAAACCATTTGTTTTTAATCTTGAGTCTACCGCGAGGAGTCATTGTTTGTTACAGCAGGCCCTCAATTTATTCTTCGTCAACCGTTAAATCGTTCATCCGCCTCAGACCCCTTACATTACTTTCCGGACAAATTTCATGAAACCTCCCGTGACGGGAGAGCGGCCGCTGCCATGGGCCTCTTTACGGCTCTCCGTGATGGATATAGTGGGACGGAGCCAGAAATAGAATGTTTGAGCCTCGTCTTCGTCTCATTTTGTCATGAAATTTCAACAAAAATAAATCGTTCTTGAATCGATCTGGAGTTTGTGTACTGCTCATTTATTTTTGTCTTCTTTTCATTTTGGATGTCGTTGATACACATCATTGGCATCTGCCTATCTTTGATATTTTTTGGTCGGAATTAACAACGAGAAAACTGTATTTTGCTTAATGACTAGAAACGGAATGCGGCTGCGAAACATGCATATTAATTGTGCCTGGACTTAAAAGAAGGCCAGTTATGATCATAAAGTGACAAGAGAAAGAATACAGATAGCAGGACGTTTTCTAGGGATGAACTGACTTAACTCGCACATTCTTCAGTATTTTTTATTCTCATCCTTAATTCGCCATGTCAACAGCAAGTATTCACTTCTAGGCCCATAGTCATTTTAGTTCTGCTTTACTTCATATCCACCGCCTCTTTGGTGGATATGTACTGTTGGGATCTTTTCGCCCTGTCGACGATACCTCTATGAACTGTGACGAGACAATTTAACCAGGCGGCATACGGACGACTGACTACATCCGATATAAACATCAGTACATCGACCTTGGACGCGCTCTGTCTCTTGGCTTTTATGATTGTAATATCGGTTGTCCCGGTTTGGGGGCCATCTTCATTTCTTCCCTTTTATTCATCCCGTGTGCTCATTCTCATCCTTCTCCGCTATCCGATATTCTCCACATGGAAGCCTATTCGCGGCAAAAATGTGAGACAATACCGGGCAAGGCACGATGAGAATAAGGACGAGCAGTCATGAGGTCGCCATCCAGCAAATCAAAATGGCTAATGGTTAAATCCAAAGGGACACATTGTGAGCAGTGTCGGCAGAGTGCGTTCTGTTGGTGGTCCCAGAACCGTCACATCCAAGACAATCTGAATATCCTATGTACAAAACCACATGGTAAGGACCGAGGATCAGATAAAGCCCCTTTGAAGCCCTACGTTTGTTAATATTGGATAATAGACAAGCCTATGCCTTAAACGTTAGTTTCCGTGTGTCCTTGTCGTTGTGGTGGCCTCTATGTTCTGGCTATGGAGAGTATTTAATCTTGCCGCTCCTCGGCTCCGGTACATTCCCCACCTCGGAAAGATATTACATTTGAGAAAGGGACGCGGCCCGGGTCCTTGAGGAAGTAAATACTGTGAAGTAGAAGGGGAACGGTCTCTACCAAATTTCAAGTGGAAACATCGTCATTAAGACAGTCAGTATAGACACCATCGACAACGACACTCATCATCTCCGCATCCGCTGCCTTCCGTGCATCCGATTCCTGCTTACCTCACACGGGACACCTACCGACATCATCGCTGCATCATCATCATGTATACATCCGGTTCGGTGACAGCCGTACACATAGTAGAGTAATATTGCTCTCGTTCTTGATGCAATCTCATTTCGGCGGATAGCCAGGGTTGGGGTCCTAAAGCTCCAAACGGCCGCCTCTCCGCTCCTCTTTTCTCCTCTTCGCTCTTGCGTTTTGCGATTTGTGATGCGTTCTGGCAATGAAAGGAAGCCAAAGAGGCAATCAAACCTTTGTCAGTGGTGGATGTATTGCATTGTACGTATCTGGTGTGTGCGCTTGATCCAACACTGCACTTGCGAGCATCGAAGCGTTGGTTACTACAACGGAGCAACGCCGACGGAACCGGTCGACCATACATACCAACGCTGAAAAAGATTTTGCCGAAGACAGTGTGTCTCGGCCGGTTGCAACTTCATCATACGACTTGACAGAAATCATCTTGGGTCCCAAGAAGGTCGGGCACAACATCATTCAATGGGCCATGATGCATGTTTTGTTTTATAAAACTTTTGATTTTTTCAGCTTTCCACGCCGTCCTACTTGTCCACTCCCTCTTAGGGTCGAGAAGGCATCGTCCGTCTTGCTTACGGCAGTATATGTGGTGTATGTAACCTCCAAATTCATTGGCCTGGACCAAATACGTGATGTGAGAGAGGGAGAGAATTCGACAGTCCGTTTCGTTTTTGAGGAAACAGCCGCAAACGAGAAACAAATTAAACAGAAAACAAAGAATCCACAACGATAGTTGCACAGCATAATGATCAGACCTGAAAAAATACCGCCCGATAAAACGGGTCAAGAAAGAAAGGGCTCGCGACAAAAGAGTACTCCAATATGATATCAAGTAGACAAGTATTAGGAAACATGGAAAAGAAGAAAAGTTGAAAGAAAAAGAAAGAGGATCCAAATGTGAAAGCCATCTGCCGCTGAGCCAAAAAAGGAAACATCAAACATCAAGAACCAAAAGTATAGGACATAAAAGTGGCCGCCCAAAGAAGAGAAAAGGGCATGTAGAAAGCAAAGAAAAGACCAAAAATAAATCGCAGAAACAAAGGCATCGAGCCAAGAATACACGCCTTCGCTAGTGTTTGGAAGCAACACTCGACGCGAGGTCTCGCATTGGTTGCCACCCAGTAGGCAGAGACCTCTCCCGATACCTCATATTGCTGCCGGGGACCTCCAAAGACATTATACACAAGAAGAGCGCGCGCAAAAGACTTTTATCGGGGACGATCTGATCAAAAGAAATGTCGGCGTGGGAAAGGGGAACAAAACAGAAAAGCGAAGTCGAGAGGTCACAGAGGATGTGGATCACCTGTCGGTTTGCCGCGTTTATTGGAGTGGAGCAGGCGGAACCTAGGCGCCCTCCAGAGGTTGAACATAGGAGTAGTTAAAGTCCAGGAGATTGTCCAGCATCCAGTGCTGCGGATCGAAGAAGTCGTAGTTGGGCGGATTCGCATCGTACGTCAGGCCGGCACCCAGCATGCCGTTCGAGGCGTGGCCAGCCAGGCCGGACGGAGCGGGCGTCAGCGTGCCGTTCGACGGCGGCGCCAAAAGGCTCGGCAGGTTGTGTGTCTGCGTAATCAGGCTATTGCCAGTGTCCATGTGCGTTGAGGAGGCGATGGATTCGTTGGCCGAGTCGGGATTGGTTGGGTGCTTGAGCGCTGGAGAAGGAAGGACAACGTTAGAATCGGACAAATCTCACGACAGGGAAGGCTCGCATAAAGCCTTTGCAAAAACTACTTACAATCTAATGTCCCACGGCCTCTAGCCTGGTACTCTTCTCTCCAGTGCCAGATCGAGTCAAACACCAAACTCATGCTGTGCCGACACCGCACCTTGAGTTGCAGACTGTCGTCAATGTTGAGCATCGTGTCGTCTTCCGCATGTGCACGGTTCTGCTGGGTCTCGAGGCGTGCGCCGTTCCACATCTGCACCATCAGCTCTGCCAGCCGCCATTGCAGGTCGTTGTGCACCACACTGGTGGACCGGATCGCGTTGATCGTCCGGTGGAACAGCTGGCGGCCCTGCTCGTAGTCGATGGCTTGCGAAAAGAATGAGCGCATCAGCTTGAGCAGCGCAAAGCTCGCTGCGACGAGCATCTGCTGCAGGTAGTTGGTGGCGTACTTGAGCGTGTCGATGCCAACATGCTCTTGCGGGGATGACGGCGACGACACCGTGCTGTTGGCCAGAATCTCTTCCAAAAAGCCGACGGTCGACCGCCACAGACCCATCAGGTCGTCGAGGTACCCGACAGTGGTGCTCGAGTCGAAGAAGCCAGCAAGTCGCAGGTGCAGACCGGCTGCCTTGAGGTGAAAGGCCACAATGGGGGACAGGTTGCGCGACATGATTTCGGCGTGCAGCTCGCCGTACTCACGGCGGAAGACGCGCATCAGGATGGAGCGGTGCTCGTCGCCAGCCACACCACGGGAGTCGCTCGCATTGCTGTACATCTCCTTGGACACCTTGTCGCAGAAGCGCTCGATTTGCAGGCGGGCCTCTAGCTCAGGGGACAGCTGGAAGGGCCCCGACTCACCCGATCTTGTTGCCAAGGTCCAATCGTAAAGCGACGATGCGGGCTGGCCGTAGCCGGTCCCGATATTCTGGGCGACAATGTTGCACACCGCCCAAGTGACGACGCGATCGTGGAGCTGGTCCTTATTGAGCTCGACAGCAACGCGCGTAAAATCGTTGATGTGGTTGGGCCGGTGCAGGCCGATGCCCGTGGCCGTCTTCATCATGACACCGCAGAGAATGTGCGTTGGGTCGGACGTGGTCGTGCTCGTGGGCAGTGGCCATGTACACAGCAGACACATAGCCTTGACAACAAAATGCGAGCCGGGGACATCTCCAATCGTCTTCCACAGCAGGGTATTCAGAGGAGACGAGATGGCGGTAAGGAGCGTCGGGTCCAGCGTGTAGCGGCGGGCGGCCACGGCCACAATGGACCAGTAGAGTAACGGGTGCTGCTGGTAGTACTGTTCTGGCGCCAAGGAGGGGTTGAGGAAGGGGAGGAAAGGGTGGTAGAAGAGCCAAAAGTCCTGGAACAGCTGCGCCTCGCCCTCTTCGGTGAGGCGCACCTCTTCCAGCTCGCGCACAATGCGCGGCAGGTTGTAAGAGCCACCCCGCTTCAGGTGCAACAGTGAGGAGACGGCCTCGTCGGAGCCCATGAGCGACGGGTTGCGGGTGTGGGAGTAGATGTTGTTTACGATGGGCGAATGCAGCTGCGAGTGCGAGGCGCTCTCGTCCTCGTTCTCCTCGGGAATGACGTAACCTTGGGAGCGCGCGAGCTGCACGTTCCTGCGCAGACGCTCAATCTCCTTTTCCATCTCGGCATGCTTGGACCGTTTACCTATGCGCTTGAAGTTGGACTCGATCTTGCACTGCAGCTTGAGCCGGTTGCACCGCGAACAGCTCCGGAACGGATCTTGGGAGACGTCACATCGCAACTAGGGAAAGAGAGATTATTAGCATTGGAGTATTGGAGAGCATTGGGCAGAGCCCGGGTTGGAGTACTGCCACGGAGTGCAGTATCGAATGCGCCGGGAACGGCGACAGCGGCTTACCTTTTGCTGGCGGCACTCGTTGCACGCCCGTTTAACGCCCGGCTGGCGCTTCTTCTCTGAGTGGTCGCCATCGTCGTCGTTCAGGACGCTTCCCGGACTGCTGTCGAATGCGCTGGCTGGGCCGCCAGCGCTCCTCTTTCGCTTTGCGCCGTTGAGGCCGGCGATGCTGCGGGCGCTCACTGGGCTTGTCGGGCTCAATGAAGCACCGCCGCCGGCCGCGAGAAGTGGCGAGCCATCCATGCACGCCACCAAACGGATTGAAGCCCCCGAAAAGGGCGTATGGGGAAAGGGGATGCGGGGAAAAGATGGAGAGCGGGAGAGCAGAGAGAGAAGGCCGACAAGGCTGAAAAGACTGAGGAGGAGGTGGTGGTAGACAAGGCGGAGAGAGAGGTAGAGGAGTTGGTCGTGCGATGTCGTCGTCAGACTAGGTAGATGTTGGCGAGGCGCAACGGCGGTCAGCGAGGGACACAGAGGTAGGCGACCGACAGAGACGTAGAAGCTGGGAGAGACGGAGAATGGCGATTCGTTGGCGACGTGCGGAGAGATCCGAGTGGCATGCAGCGGCGGAAGAAGACAAAACGTCCAAGGCCTGAAGAGGAATCCCCAAGTTTGGGGGCACTTGGTTGTGGCGGAGAGCAGGGCAGGAAAGAGGGATGAAAGAGAAAAGAGGAAAACGGACAAATTAAAAGGCAGGGCACGAAGGAATGCGCAACGCAAGAGCAATGCTGCACGAGAAAACGAATTGGGCGGTGGCTCTTTCCAGGTGCTGTTCGCGATTTGTTTGGACTGAAGATTGAATTGACAGGAGCGACCGACCACGGAGGGGGCGGGGAAAGAGCAAATGGGTTGGCGAGACTTGAAGCAGTAGGCAGAGAAAATTGTGACTCCTCACTGCGGCCAGCCTTCGAAGAGCCATATTGCGGCACCCAAATCCTCGCATCCACGCAGTACCACAGCGAGGCGGGCAAGGCCAGCGCGGTGCTGCGACTGCGCCAATAGCAAACCAAAACAGAAACCAGGGAAAAAAAGAGGAGTCGCCGTTGCCGCCAGGGGCAGATGATTGGATGGATGGAATAAAGAGGACCCATAATTATTGCGTGTTCTTGCGCTCATTGGTGGCTAGCCACTGCAAAATTACATACCGTGCCCGCTCCGCATCACGTGGGGCTCGCGGCCCGCTCGAATGGGCAAGTGCTACTGCTGGGGCCATACCTCTTGCCCAGTGTAAATACGACATACGCCATCAAAGGGCACAGCGCGGCCAGCGCTCAGCGCCCTGTGTCCAGCACCGTCACACGCTGCTCATCGCACCTTCCTGCAGATGCCGGGATTCGTGCTCTACGGAGTATTGTACGGGGTATTTTAAAGAGTAGCATTGCCGGTGCAAGCAGGAGGCATCCTTGGAGAGTTTAAAGTGCAGGAAGTGCTGGCCCTTCCTGACCTCGATACGCCCAGACAATTGCCGGTTTGCCGCAATGACTAAGCATGCCACCAACAAGCGGACGTCGTTCCTTCCCTGCACAGCGACACACAAAGCCACAGCTTTCGTTCGACTCACAACACGACAGCATTGTTGCTCACACATAACGCCGTGCGAACTACACATAAACAACGCTCGTGCAATGGGTGAATGCATGCGAGGCATGTTCCATTTCTTACAAACATGTAATACGAGCAACAAAAAGGCAATTTCATACGGGCCTGCAGCCTTCGAGTCGTTCGTCCTGCTTAGGCCTTAGCGCCACAATTGGACCCACAATTCGCAATTTCGACCCGCTTTTTATGTGCGTGATACGCCTTGTGACCGCCGACTTTGCCTATTTCCACTGCACCTCTCGTGGTGTTGCCCACTTTTCTGCCTTTGCTGTATTTTGCCGTTGACTGCAGCTGCAGCCTCCGCGATCGTTCGCTGCTCGGTGGCTGCTTGTCCGACACCCACAGTCTAGCCTTGTCTCCAGCCTATGACAGGCTCGCGTCAGAGCGCTACTGCTTACATCTGCACTCCGACCGCGCCTGACCATCGGCTCCGGTGTCGTTCCGCTCCAAGGGCCCTTTTGCCCCGAGAGCCGGGTGGGTCTTTAGTGTCTGCAGCATCCGGAACTGATCCTGTGAGTAGAACTTCACGGGGTATTTGCGGGTGTTTGCTGCCGGGGCCGCGGGCTACAGGAAACGAGATTCGAGAAAGCCCAGACGCTTATTCGTTTCGATGGGACAGGATAGGAGTGTCCAAAATGGCACCATCCGAGCCCTCAACATCGACCAATGATGCCGCAACGACTGTACCCGAGTCCAGCGGCCGGACTCTCTTCAAGGGCCGGATCCAGCCTCCACCAAGACGGACTCCGTATACCGCAGTGACGGTGCAGCCCGTACTTCCCGAAAGCAAGATCACGGCCACAGATCTACGAGCCCCAAAGCGTAAGGCGTCCCCCAATACCATACGGCACCAAACAATACGTATATACAGCACGTATTAGATATCTGACTGTCAAAATTATGTGCAGCGGAGGTGGTCTATGTCAACTCCACGGACGTTTGCCTTCCCTTCTTGGAGCCGGATAGACCGGGTGGCCAACAAAGCCGGGATGGTCGCTCGGCTTAAAGAAGGGTGGAAGCAGGCGTTGATAGGTCAAATATTGTGGACAACGAAAACGACAGAGAAGCAGGTCCGATCCTTTGTACTCCGTTCAGCCTTCGCACGGCACATTGCTCGCAGCACAAGGCATGTTCCATGAACGAATCGCGGCTTGTTGTGGGCTTTTGAATTCGTTGCACTGCGTTTGCGTGTGCTGCACTGCACGACGCACATGTGCGAAAAGATTTGGGGAAGCCTCCGTCTGTACGTGCGCGTCTTTTTATCACATATGATCATTCCCTTCCCAAGCTCTGCAGAGATTGATTAAAGAATCGGGTAAAGGGTGCGGGCGAACAATGACGAACCGAGACGAAAGTTGGAGAGGATTTATTCTGGCAATCGAGCAGAGGCGAGACCACTCACGGAAGTGTGCCACTTGTCTGGTGGCCATATCTACTGCGACTTACTGTGCATCCATACCTGGCCACTCTGTCCCCTTCCCGCTTTACGCCCATAGTGCAGCACCCTCTGCAAGAGTTTGTCCTCCTATCCGACATATATTAAGCTTCTTATATAGAACGCACAAGCCAGTCACAACTCAATCACGCAACCGATAAACCGTTACAATGGGCCAGTGAATGTTTGTATGAGGACCAAGTAGTACGCGTGGAAACATACAACCCAAAGGCCTGTTGTCATTTCAGCGTTCTAATGCTGCGATTGGTAACTTTTGTTCTGCCTGTGCTTTGAAGCATTTGAGATTCCATGCTACGAGATCATTCGTAGTGACGTTTTACTTTGGGCATTACATAACAACAACGAGGGCATCGAGTTTGAACACATTCACTAGAATGGCATCGTAGGGCCGTGTCATAGATGTTATCACGTAGAAACACGATATGCCGCGTATCGATCGAAGAATATATGTCCTCCCATTCTCTGTTGACAACGCAGTTACGGATCACATTGCAAAATAGGACATCAGATATCGAATACCCAGTTATTGAGTATCCCAATACGACAACTAGAGCAGCCTGTCCGATATGACTGGTGGAAGCTGACAGCAGGCCATCCGCAGATACGTGTTTCACCCGATGACGAGTTTGACACACAGCGCTTCTCCAACAGTCTTATGAAAAGAGGGTCCTCTCAGTTAGTTTATGAGGAACAAAGTTGGAGCGAAGAGTACATATGATTAGTGTGATATCATTTACCTCGATTGGCAACAAAAGTACAGTGTTACCAGTGTCACTGTGTCAGGTGCTCGCCAATATCGAGCAAACAGGTGTTCGATGAGCCTGTTGCTCTTTTAAGTGAAGCTCCATTATTTTCCTTCGTTTTCCCTTTTTTACCCCGTTACTCCGTTCACTTGTGCCACAATGAAATTTAATCAAACAGCCAGTAAGCTGGGTTGCTAGCACACGCTAGACACCGTTTTTTATGGATAGGGCAGGCAATTTCGTAAGAGCAAAACCGGCGAGTCAGGCGAGTCAACCTTGGCGATTCAAGCATGTCATAATGGAACATTGCGTTAAAGTCGAAAAATGTATTAAAACGAAATGCAAGAGAGTGCAAAACACCTCGTGAGCTGACCAGCTCGTGTGAGCTCTGTGGGTAATTTGGGTGGTGACACAATCTTTGTGTATAGTTATTGTTTTTTGTAGCTATTCCTACCTTCACTCTCCGCCACAGTCTCGCCACTGTCTTACATTATCTCCGCAATGGCACCTCGTCAAATCCGACATTGTTTTAGCTGGACCCAGCCGTCAAGTGCCAAGTGTCATCTTTTATCGACTTCCTGTGGTCTTGTCGTTGATCTCCCACACTCGCTCCAATGTACGACGCGGATGTAGACTATCGAGACTATGTATGTAAACAGAGTCGACGCTAGGCCCCGCATCGCTTGGGGTCACGAAAGAAAGATGCGGAGATGCTTCAGTTGGAAAGAAAAGCGCTTAGAGAAAAGGTCTCAAGGGGATGGCAGTAAGACGGGGTAGGTTGAGAAGGCAACAAGCGGCATATCCGAAAGAGGAAAAAACATCGCGGGCCTAGGTCATAGGTCAGTCTGTCTTACATACACCGAAGTGTTGCAAGGTTCATGGTTGTCTATTACCGAGCGTTCTTACCGAACACCGCTTCCCTGAATGGACGAATGGGTGGAGCGGTGCGGGCGGAAAAGCATTTCCCAGCGACCATTCTTCCCCAACTTCCCCAGAGAAACGGCAAATTGTCAGACAGTAGCGCCGTTTTCCCCAGCGAATGTAAGCCACACGTGTGCTAATAGCGCCCATAGTGGAATTCGTGCAACCAGTGAATATTTTTGCCAGTTTCCGAGAGGACCGGATGCAATCATTTTGAATTTCAGGACATCGCCGCAATTTTGGTGTTGGCGAGCTTTGAATCATTTCTTGAGGCTATGCCGACAGATCATATTATTGTCCTCCTTTCGCCAGCTCCACGCCGAATTAGAGCAGTATTCATCCTTCCATTGGAGACAAGTAAAAGAAAATATATAAACAAATAACCACAACAGGACAATATCACCTTTAGCCCACGACTTTCTACCTGCTAGCTCATGTACGTCAAATCAGGTACTGCTTGCTGGCCATTTTAGAACCGCTGATTTCCGGCGGCCAGAGAATAAGGTAGTGTCTGGGTGCTCCCTTGGCCATTTTTGGCTTTTATTTTTATGCGTCCTTTTTTGGCCTTTTCTTATTTCTATTTTCTTTTTTTCCTCAGTTCCTTTATATCTGCTAGTGGTATCGGCAATACCAGACTCTCGGGTCTCGTGGCCAATGACCGTTCTTATATTGTACCTACGGAGTTGTTGTAATCCGTGTCAGTGTGTCTGCGTCCGAACGTCTCCGCTCCACCGTGGGTTCAAAATGGATGGTACCCTTCGAATTAGAAAGTACGACGAATGCGTCCAGGACATTTCTGCCTTATTTATTTGCTGTAAAGCATTACATCCTCAACTGTGGCTCTAGTTTGGTATGAAACCGTCTTCCCACTAGTCGCCATTTAGATGGTCTCCAGACTTGAAAAGTGGACAACCAGATAGACATGGTTCCCAGTCGACGAAACAAATGGTTGATAAACCAAAGACTATGGCCGTGGTTGCACTTTGGCGATCTTTTCCAACTAGCGTTCATCGCCAACCCACACGCCCCCTGTCCCATGAATTCATGAAATCGCCTCAGCTCCGCCGCCCTAGAGTGCCGCATACCAGTTTATGCTTTCTCCAGTATGCTGTAATTATGTCTCAATATCCAGACAGATGCCAGCCTGCCTACCTCTCCGCGTGTATTCTGCTTTTATATCTTCCTCTCACGGGGCCGGACATCTATCCCCGTACTCGGAACCCACATCCTCTCGCCTTCCGCCTCTTCTCTATCTTTGAGCTCCATTTCTGATCCACTTGCGGAAAGTGAGGACCCTGGCTCGCGTCCATTCATTGTCCATTCTCTTTTCATATTACCATTCTCGAAGTTCCTCCACACTGCAGTGTGGTGCCCATATCAACCCCTCAGACTAACCCCCATCCCTACCTCCAGTTGGTTTCTTTCTTTCTTTTGTCAACAATAGAACACCATCTTTAACTTGTTTTTATGTGGATGGTCTTTCTACCTACTTTATTCAGCCATTTGTGCTCTTTTGGCTCCCATCTCTCTCCGTCCCCTTATTTTCTTATTTTCTTTCCCCGACTAATCTGTTATTTTTTTTTTTTTTTTTTTTTTTTTTTTTTTTCCCTTTCTAACATCTTCATACTCTCACCGTTTTGGCCTGTAAACAAACACTTTGTCTACGTAACTGCGGTACAATACCCGAGCCGCTGTATACACTGTACAATTCACGACAGCACGGCACGCTCACTCATCGAATCAGCTTATACCGTCTTCTTCCAATTCTCATTACGACGCCTAGACTCTACAGCACCGTCAAGAAGCCACGATAAACAACAATAACCGACTCACGACGTCGCTTTAACACAATGGTGACTGAAACCGAGGCCGCAATCGGCGCCGCTGGTGTTACCGGTCCTACCGGTCCGGCCACCTCCGCCGCCAAAACGGCACGGGCCAAGAATCCCAACAAGGTCCGCAAGCGGGCGCCCAAAGCGTGTCTGTCGTGCCGTGCTCGCAAAGTCCGTTGTGACGTGTCGCAGCGTGGCCGACCGTGCATGAATTGCTATCTGGACAGCGAGACGTGTATTGTGACGGGCCGTGCCTCGCGGCTGCGCAAGTCGCAGCGGCCGCCGGCAAAGACTGCAACCGCAACAGGCGCAGCACCTACGACGATTTCTGCACCAGCCTCGACCGATAAAATGGCAGCGGCATCATCAGCAGGAGTAACAACTTCCCAGCCTGCGGGTGCTTCTCAAACAGAAGACCACGGCGCTTCAGCACCTAAACAGACGGCTAGCAACGGTGCGCTAAGATCGCATCCGCAGTCGCAGGTATCGCATCACGACCACAGCCACAACGACAACGACTTGCACGTTTATAATCACGCCCACCAGCACGGCTCACCACAGTCCGATACCGCGTCCCGTCGCCGGACGGTCTCCACAAATGGCTCGCCGTCCGCTATGCACGAGAGCGAGCCACCTCAGCAGCAGAAAGTGAATGAGACAATGCACACATCGCCCATGGCCGGCCCAGAGACGGACAATCTCCCACGGAACCACAACGAACATGAAGAGTCACAACAACAGCACGATGAGAAGCGCCAACACCAGCAATCACGCGGCCACCACAGCCATAGTCATCAAAACCATAAACATAACCACATTCACTCCCACGATAGCCACCAACGCCGCTTCAACAACTTCCACGACGACCTTCGCAGTGGTCCGAGCACCGATTTCCTCGGATCGGCAACTGGTGCCCCGAGAATGGGTATGGGCATGGGAGGTGCGACGCCCTGGGCGGCCGAGCAACGACTCAACAGCAACGCCGACATCACATACTCGTACTACCCGTTCCTGGCCATCAGCAACATCTCGGGTATCCTGCCGCAGGACGTCAACTACCTCGAGCTGCAGGGCTGCTTGCGTGTTCCAACGCGCTCCATCCTTGACGAGTTTTTGCAGCAGTACTTCTTGCACGTCCACCCGCTGCTGCCCCTCTTCAACGAGGGTGACTTCTGGGAGCTGTACTGCCAGCAGGGCACCAGCAGCGTGTCGTCTGGAGGGCGCCTGTCGCTGCTTGTGTTCCAAGCGCTGCTGTTTGCGACGTGCAACTTTGTGTCACGCACCAGCATCCGCGCTCTCGGCTTCCCGACCATCCGCCTGGCACGCGCCGCGTTGTACCGCCGCTCCAAGCTGCTGTACGACTTTGAGACGGAGTCGTCGCCGGCGGCCATTGCGCAGGCCGCGCTGCTGCTCAGCTTCTGGTCGCCCTCGACCAACCTGGGCACCAAGAACCCCAACACGGCCTGGCTCTGCACCGCCATCCAGCAGGCCAAGCTCGCCGAAGCCAACCACTACGCCTCACTGCCGCCCGACAGCCGCCGCGCCAACGCCCTCAAGCGCCTCTGGTGGTGCTGCATCATCCGCGACCGCGTCATGGGCCTGGGTGTGCGCCGCGGCATCCAAATCACTCGTGCCCACTTTGACCTCGAAGCCAATCCGCCGCTCACGCGTGCCGACCTCGCCGACGAGATTGAGCGCTCGCGCGTCTACAACCCAGGCACCAAGTCGTGTCTGATTGAGATCCTCGTGCACATGATTGAGCTGTGCGTGGTGCTGACCGACATCTTGACACTCGTGTTCCCCCAGGACGACACGCCGGGCTGGGGCCGCCAGATGGCCGACAGCGATGCTGGACGCGTGCGCCAGTGCAAAATTGAGCTGCGTCGCTGGTACAAGGACGTGGCCCTCAAGTTCCCCATGTTCGGCGGCAGTAGCGGCAGCAGTGACGGTTCGCCGGGCAACTCGTCGGGCCATGCTGGCGGTGGCGGTGTCGCGCGTCTAGCCAACGGCGGCCGTGAGTTCTACCACGACTCAGTGATCCTGTACACAAACCTCATGTATATGTACTACCACTCGTCGCGTGTTGCCCTGTGCCATCACGAGGTGCTGCACATTGCCGTGGCCAATGCCACGCCCGGTTTTGCGAATGGAAACAAGGCGGTCCCCGTCATCTACGAGAACCGTTATGAGCTGCAGGATGCTGCATCTGGTGTCACTGAGTGCTTGAAGGAGTTGATCCAGTTGCGTCTGGCTCGCTGGCTGCCCATTAGCGCGTACGTTTCTTCCTTCCTTCTTTGTTGCAATGCGTTTTTGCTTTTGCTTTGCTCCTTCCTCTTATATCCATTCCTGCCCTCCTTCCTCTCGACCGTCCCCCTCCCCATCGCACCTTCTCTAACTGTCGTCTAGCGTGGCCTGCACGGCTTTGCCCCTTTTCCTGCACATTCTCGATGTCAAGCTTTCGACGTCGGCCACCAACAACAACGGTCACAACAATGGCAACCCGTCGGCCAAGACGCCCAACGAAGGCAGCGGCGCCGATGGCAACTCGACGTCCGCCAGTTCTGCCCTCAAGCAGCACCGCCTCAACATCCTGATCGAAGCCATGAAGACCTACCAGCCGCAGTACGACGGTGTCGACTGGGTCAGCGAGACCATTCGTCATATTGTCAACCTGGCCCAGCTGGATGGGCCGGCGGCACCCGGTGCCAATGGGAACGGTGGAAACGACGGTAGCAATGGCGGCAACAACAATGGCGGCATCTCCGACTGGACCGACATTCTGGCGTCCAACCCGTCCTGGTACCTGCGTCTGGCCTTGACTATGGATTTGGCATTGAGCAAGAACCGCATGCCTGAAGAGCGGGACTTCCCTGTCGGCCTTCGAGGTCTGTTTACCGCCGGCTTCAGCTCGATACGCAACCTGCGTCTGGGCTACAACAAGGATGGGAGCCGGACCAATAACAATAATGACAACAACGGAAATGGTAATAACGAAAGCAGCAACAGCGGGCACGGTGGAAACAGTGGCAACATGAATAAGGACAATGATAGCAACGCCAAAGCAAACTCCAGCGAGGTTCGCAGCACTCCGTTCCCGCCTGCCAACAACTCCAACTTGGGCAACATGACAAACTCGCAAACCAACAACCTCAATGGCATGTCCATAGACAATTTCAACGGCATGAACATGCATGTTGTAGCCGGTTCCCCGCAGCAGCGGCCGCGGCCGCAGCAGCCAATGCCAACGGTTCCGACACCCGATATCGTCAACATGATGGACGATCCTGCGTCTATGACCGCTGCTATGGACGCTATGGACGCTATGGGCGCTATGGGCAGCATTGGTGGTGCTAACGGCCTGGTGGTTTTTCCCGGTGGCGTACCAGGTGATATGGGTGACTTCCCTGGCGGTGACTACTCGGCCGCGTTTATGCTGGCACCGCACCACCTCGCTATGAGCATGGGCATGGCCATGGGCATGGACATGGACATGGATCTGGGCGACATGGATATGGACATGTCTGCTTTCCCGCCCAACGCCTTGCTCAAGCCAGGCATCGTGACCCAGCTTCCGTCCTCGGACGAGGAAATGACGCCTGCGTCTGTGTCGGTCGGCACCACGAGCAGCGAGGCTGCCAACTCGCCACAAGCCCAGCAGCAGCAACAGGCGCAGCACAACTTCAGGGCCCAAAACAGCCATCCTGTTCAGAACCAGCACCACGCGCACCTGCACAATGATGGAGCGATGCTGGATGCCTATACGTTCAACAATGGCAACGTCGGGGGCGGTAGCGACAGTCCCGGCACGACAATCACTGACATAGACGACTACCATGATCCTAGTCACTACCGTCATCCTGCGGGCAGCGCTACCAAGCACGCCAGCAGCAGCAAGCAGAACAAGAGCGGCCGTCATGAGGCTAAAGGAGACGAGTGGATGGAGCCGTTTTGGGACGATGAGGTGCCTGATATGCGCGAAGGTGACCGGGACACAGCGCAGGCCCTGCTCGAGGCCATTGGCGAGAACGCATAGATGGTAGACCACAATACCACATCACAAGAGGTATGGGGTAAGGTCACGGAATTGGGTTAAATATTGGAAAGCACGTACAAACGGGGACCAGCACGTTAATGTTGATATAGTTACGGTTTATTTTTCATTGATTTTAATTGATCACGCAACTTCCTTGTTTCTCTTTGCCATTCAAAAAACCATCATTTCCTCTAACGAGTCTTGTATATCGTATATATAAAATAGTCTAGAGTTGGACATGTCCACCTATCGTTCGTACCGAACATCTACAGGCTGCTCTTCGCCGTCTCCTCCTCATCCTCGAGCTCAGCTAGGTATTTTTCTGCCTCAAGCGCCGCCATGCAGCCGGTACCCGCGCTGGTGATCGCCTGCCGGTACCGCTTGTCCTGCACGTCGCCAGCTGCAAATACGCCAGCAATGTTGGTCAGCGTCGTGCCGGGTGTCGTTTTAATATAGCCCTCGTCGTCCGTCTCCACCTGGCCCTTGACGAGGGCCGTCGCCGGGTCGTGGCCAATGGCATAGAACAGGCCAGAGGCCGCCAGCGTCTCCGTCGCACCGGTCTTGGTGTCCTTGATCACCAGTTCGCTCATCAGACCCCTGTCGTCGCCCTTGACCTCGACACCCGCCGAGTTCCACCGCACCGTCACCTTCTTGTGTGCCAGTAACCGCTTCGCCATAATGTTGCTCGCCCGCAGCTTGTCGCGGCGCACCAGCACCGTCACGTGGCTTGCGTACTTGGTCAAAAACATGGCCTCCTCGGCAGCCGAGTCGCCACCGCCAATCACAACCAAGTGCTTATCGCGGAAGATGGGAACGGCGCCGTCGCACACAGCACACGCGGAGATACCGTTTTGCCAGTACTGTTCCTCGCCGGGCAGGCCCAGGCGCCGCGCAGACGCGCCCGTCGCCACAATGACGGCGTCGGCCGTGTGGAACTCCTCGGGGGACCACTCGGTCGCATATTTGAAAGGACGCACGGACAGGTCGAGCGAGCTGACGGTCTCAGAGATGATCTCGGTGCCAAAGTGCTCCGACTGCTTGCGCATGCGGTCCATGAGCTCGCCGCCCATGACGCCGTCGGGGAAGCCGGGGAAGTTCTCGACGTCGGTCGTGGTCGTCAGCTGGCCGCCAGCCGCGATGCCGTTGGCCATGAAGCCCTCATAGAGGACGGCTAGGCGTGTTAGCGTTTTCTTTATCAAGTCTCTTTCCATAATGCCAAGGAACGTTCGACATACGCTTCAGGTTGGCGCGGGCCAGGTAGACGGCAGCCGTGTGGGCAGCAGGCCCGGAGCCGATGACTGCGCTTGTTAGCCAATGTTGCACAAAAATAAACGCGGCCACGTCCCACGACCGGCCTGGGACACAATAATATACTTACTAACAACCTTGCTGTGCATAGTCCTGGTGCTCAACTTGTGCAGCTCGCTGGGCGTGTTCTTTTTGGGCGTGGTAGTTGTAAAGGCAGCGATCCAGAGACCAGAGGCACCCGTTCGCAGGGTGCGCCGCGAAAATGAGGAAAACAGCGTGGCGACGTGTAAAGTCGTGTCGGGAAATGGGAAGACAAAGCGGATCGTGCTGATCGTGTGAGGTCGTGTGTCGTGGTGCGAGGGAAGTTTTTTATATGAAGGGTCGCGCGAAGAAGATTCTAGTGAGAACGCCACTATTTCAAATGGACTCTCGGCGCGACCGCGGGGTGGAAGTTTGAGGAATCGGGGACGGCTGTGTTAGCGCTCTTAGTACCTGTTTGGGCGGGCTGACAGATCAATTTTAGTGGTCGGTCCTGCCAAATGGTCCCTTGACCCAACAGCTCGTTCCTCTTTCCTGTCGCCGAGGCTGTCCGATTTGGACCGCTATCCACTTTTGTTTATTACATAATCCGACTTGCCGCTCCTGCCTTATGGGGCCTGGGGGCCTATGAGCTACGGCAAGCTAAAGTGTTCGCGGAAAGAGCTTCGCGTTGCAGTCTGACCAAAAGCCGCAAACAACACCAACGGCTTCAATCGTCGTCACAATATCTACGTTAGCAGTCTTCACATCCTCACCCGGTAGCTCGATACGCCCTTTATCCAAACTGCGGCGTTGTCTACCGAATTAGCAGCTATGACCTGCGACCACCGGGCCAATACCCGATTGTAGACCCAACAGCCCTTTCGGCTCAGCTTCTCGAAGCGACTCTCCTGAAAGCTCTCTCACCTTCTCAAGCCAGCCCCTGGCAGTCGCCTGGCCGCGCTCGCCATGGACTCATCACCAGGCTCGGGTGTATCGACCCTCCTGAAGCCTCGTGTCCTCGCTGTCGTCGTCATCACCACCACGGCGGTTCTCAGTCTCGGCGCTGGAATATGGTACGAGAGCTGGCGGCAGCGGAGAGCCGACAATGCAGAGCTTGCCGCGGGTGGTGGCCTGCATCGACGTAACGCCGTTCGACGCCCGCGACGCGGCTCCCATACCGATGGACCTAGTGGCTCGGCCACCGAGCCCCAAACTACGACACACATCGACGAATCAGCAGCTGCACCTACCACCGACGAGAATAGCATTAACAATGTGCGCCCTCTACAAGGCGAGGATCGCGAAGCAACAGTCGTCGACGACGGCGAAATGGACGAGCGGTGGCTGGACGATATAGGCCCGCCAAACTCCGTGCAGCGCGCTGGTCATAACATTGTCAACCTCTTGTTCCGCGTGTCCGAGGACAATGCCCGCCGCAGTTCTTATGTGCATCGCGGCTGTGCGTGCAACGCCTGTGGCATCGTGCCCATCCGCGGCATCCGCTACCGCTGCGCCAACTGCGCCGACTTTGATTTGTGCGAGACGTGCGAGTCTCAGGGCCTGCACATCAAGACACACATCTTCTACAAAGTGAAGGTGCCTGCACCTCCGTTCGGTCCGCGCCAGATGCAGCCGGTGTGGTATACGGGCGATCCGGACGGCTTTGTGCGGGGCCTACCCAAGTCACTGCTGTCGCGCCTGGTGCGCGAGACTGGTTTTGAACGCCAGGAGCTCGAGGCGTTTTGGGAGCAGTGGACATATATGGCCAATACGGAGTGGCGTGACGACCCAGACGGCCTGTGCCTCGCCATGGACCGCAAAACGTTTGAGCGGTGCCTTGTGCCCTCGGGTGGTTACAGACACGCGGCACCGAATCTGATCCACGACCGCATGTTTGCCTTTTACGACACTAACAATGACGGGCTAATCGGCTTCTCCGAGTTTTTGCACGGACTGTCGTACCGCAAGCGCAAGGATAAGCTCCGCAAGATCTTTGAGGGCTACGACACGGACCGCGACGGACTGGTCAACCGGCGCGATTTTCTGCGCTTCTTCCGCGCCTACTACGTGCTCTATAAACAGATGCACAAGGACATCTTGGAAGGGCTGGATGACCAAGTCATGAGCAGCATTGAGACTCACCAGCTGGTCGGCAACAGACAACCTCTCAGCAGCTTCTTTGGACGCGACGGCCGACTGCCGCACGCTGACACGCGGCGCATGATGGGCGGCAAGTATATTGACCATGCGATGGGCGAGGTGCGAGTGACAGACGGTGCGGACGGTGTGGTGGCCGAGGACCGGCCCGACATGGCAGACCGCGAAGAGCTGCTGGCGCTTCTCTACACGCGTACCGAAATCCGCCTTAATGGAGAGGGCATTTTTGAGGAGAGATACTTTGCAAGCAACGACAATAGCGGCGACGAGCACGACGACGGCCCGGCCGTTGTTAACTATTGGGATGCTTTGCTTAACCCGCCGCGAACCGTAAATGAGCTCCCTTCGCTTCTCATGGGCCAACGCGATCCGTCAGATCGTAACGATGTTTTTGCTTCAAATCATGGCAACGAATACGAGCAGGGCGACGACAGTGTGGCCATGGGCACCGCCGAGATCCGGGAAGTGCTCGCGGGCGGCGGTCGCACAAACGTAAGCGCCGAAACCAACAGTGACGACAATGCATCCACTACGGCCGTCATTGACCAGCCATTGCCTCCCTCGCGGGCCTCTACATCCGAAAGACACGCTGGGAATGCGACTGCACACGCAACTACAAATGCAAACGGGTCGGCGGCAAACAGAGATCCAGCCCAACGCATCTCTCGAAATCAGCCGGGCATGCCAGGGGAGGGCGTGTCCCAACTGGACAGTTCGACGGCCGAACAGCAAGATGCGATTACGAACAACCCGCGGACCCGTTTCAATCCTTGGCGGACACCGACGGCAGGCCAGCTGAGCGCAGGGGAGGAAGCTTTCATGCGAGCGCATCTTACCAAGGCTGCCAAGGTCACAGCACGGCGCAAGCTGCACAACCGGTGGATGCGGCGGCAGTTCTATCTGGACGAGGAAGAGGGCGCCGTGGCACCGAGCGCCTGGAAAGATGACGAAGATCTGCTCGCCGAGGGTGAAGCGTCGTCATCAAAATCAAAAGCAAAAGCGGCGCCTGCCGACTCCGGCAAGGCGGAACACTCACGCAGCCGCCTGGCCGACATCCCCGAAGCGGAGCGCGACGCGGGCCGCGAGGTGTTGTATCAGGTGATGCAACAGGCGTTCAACGAGCTGCTGGATATTTTGTTCTTGCGAAAAGAAAATCTGGCGATCGAGTCCGCTGAGTCGAAGCAAGACCGCGACAAGTATCGCCACCTATTTGAGCACCTTTCCGTGGAGCCCGGGATTGGAGTTAGCAACAAAATACCCTCTCCACCGCATAAGAAGGCGGCCAGGTCGACGTCTGCTGCCGATAAGGCCGTCAGCGACATGACGCTGGAGGAGATGCTGGCGGAGACAGGGTACGAGGTGATTGGCGGTGTGCCGACGGAAAATCTGGACCCGCCGCGCTCGGTAGTGAATGGTAGCGCAAACGCCAGCTCCAATACCGACATGATGACAGCAGCGACAACGACGGCCACGGCGCCCGAAGCAAACGATGCCGAGATTGGTGCCGTGGAAGAGGTACTTGAGGAAATTGTCGATGACGATAGTGGGGAACCAAAGAAAGATGTGGTTACTGAAGCGGCTCCCGAGCCAGCCTTCGAAGAACAAGTTGAGGTCGTGGATACCGTAGGAAAGAACACTCCTGGCCGCCCAGCCGGCGATATTCTCGAGACTCTGGACGACGTGCCCGAAATCTCGCTCACCGCAGTCGCCGAGGTTGATAAAGACCACCGCGACCCGACCCTACCGCATTTCCGGCCCAACACCCAGGCTGAGTATGAGACATTGGTGGCACAGCAGGAGTCGGCCCGGGCCCCGTCACAGGCAGCTTCTCTTGTTGCCGCATCCACCGCTGCTACAGTGGCCACGAGCTCTGAGGGACGCAGCTCACCTGGTACGGCAACACCACCCGTTGACGACGAACCGTCTACAGATGCCGGCCGGGACAAGGCGGCGGGCACGGAGCCGGAAGGGATTGAAAAGGATGAAAAGGATAAAGGCAAGGGCAAGGCCGAGGTTACTCCAACCCTAGAATCAGGCCGTCCGGGTAAGGACAACAAGGACCAACGCAACGGATCACATTCGAGTGACGCGGTTAATACCAAGAGCGCAGACAACAGTGATACGGCCAACAGCAACACCGCTCCCGCTCCAGAAGAGGCTGACATTCCCCTGGCAACCCTCAAGCAATGGAAGCGGCTGGATCTCGCCGAGCAGGAGGCACAGGTGCGGGGCGGCTGGGGAAAGCTGAGCTACGAGGAGTTTGAGCTCATTTTTAAGCAGGAAGAGCAAACACCGAACAGGCTCGACTACTTGGGGAGCTGGATCGATTTTTGCATACCCTAGAACGGCAGTCGATTCCGCCACAAGATGTACACAGTCACACCATCCTCACGTTTTGCGCTGGAGTAGGAAAACAACCAAGCATAGCTATCTATCAAGCGTTTAGGAATAAAACAGGCGTTTATCTTCTACCTTTCTCGGGGGTGAGGGGGGAATAAAAACAAATGAAAGTTGAGAACGAAACATAAATAGTCGTCTTGGATTGCATCTCTTCTTGGCCTTCTCTGGTATTCTATTTCCATAATCTTTGACTAAAGCCACATCGTGGATGGGAAGCTCCAAAAGATGAACTGTTGATCGAACTTTCTATGTCACATCAACAAGGATCAACAGCCAATGACTATGTTACTTCGTTGTTTCAATGCCCACTCGTCTTACACAGCCAACATTCTCCGCGCTTCACCACTTCGCATTCAAATTTTGATGTGCACTCCACATTCTGTCCTGTCGTCCTCACATCTGGCCCATCGAGGGCATCTCTGGCACATCTGCCGAGGACCGCAATGCATACACGCGGATCCGCCTGCTGCCCGTGGCCAAGACTAAGAGTCTGGTGGAAGATGCGTTCAGCAAGGGCGCCAAGCTCGAGGGTGGCGTCGACTTGGCGACGGCGATCACAGAGGACGGCGGCCGTATGCGGCCGCTAGTTGTCTCGGGCATCACCAAGTAGATGGACCTGTTTTATATGGAGAGCTTCGCGCCGACGGTGGGCCTCTTGAGGTTGACACAGAAGAAGAAGCGATTGCACTGGCCAACGACACCGAGTACGTGCACGACGAGACGATCCTGCCACACGGCGGCATGAAATCGAGCGGCGTCGGGCGGTTCGACGCAAACTTGTCCGAGTGGGTGCAAACCAAGTCCATTGCCTACCGGGTGTAGGGTGTTCAAGAACGCAGAGAAACAAGACGAAGCGGGACATGTTACTGAGATTGCATACATTTCTGTGTTTTCATTCAAGTTTATTGATTTTTTTTCTTTTTGGGGGGATATTTGGAGTATGACCCATTACGAGTCCGTCCATGGACTCGAGAGAAGAGTTTGCAGCAATGAATGTCAATGATAAACGTCAAATATCAAATGTCGCAGCATTAAAGTGTGCTCCAATTCGCTGCAACCCAACGCATAATCCAATCACCAGCTGTTTGTGGCCGCCGGTCTTTACAGGTACGCAACCAGACCAACAATGGCAGCCGCCGCCAGCAGCAACGGCCGGCCCAGGCTCAGCGTGCCCCACCGGTCCACCAGCTGCTTCGCCGACGCCTCCTCTTGCGCCGTGTAGACAGTGCCGGCACCGGCCGCACGGTCGGCCTTGGACAGCTGTGCGTCCTCCTCGGCCTGCGCGGCCTTGGCGACGAGCTCCTTGTTGGTGGGGCGCAGGATCAACAGCGTGTAGGGGACAATGGAGAGGCACAGGCCGGCGGCGACGAGCGGCAGGGTGCTGGCGGAGACTTCGATGGACGAGGGCGTCGCGGCGTTGGCCGTCCTGTAGTAGACAAAACCAAACGCGGCAGCGGCCGTGGCAGCGGCACCGGGGAAGACGATCTTGCCAGCATGGAAGGCGCGGCCCCACTGGCGCAGCATGACGGCGGTGGGCGACTCAAGCAGGCGAGGGACGAGGAACGTCGAAAGGCCCAGGGAGCCACCAGCGGCGGCGGCACTGAGGAAGATGGAGGCCGCCTGGGCGCCGCGGACGGCGTCCGAGGTAACCGCGGGGGCGTTGAAGGAGATAGACATGTTGTGCTGACTGTGGCGTGTTGTTGCAAGAGGTTGTTCGAGATGGTTGAGAGGTTGAAGGAGTTGCGTGATGCAGTGAAAAAGTAGAGTTGAGTGGAAGATGTGAGCAAAATGAAAGATGTACAGAGCTTGAGCTATGTGCCCAATTATATGTCTCAATGGGAAGTCGTGGTTTGTCTGCATCGGCGGGGAAAGAACAACCAGGAACCAAGACGAAGCAGGAAACAGCTCTCTGGTGGTTGACGTCATGCATTCAGGCAGAAGCTAACGTGACTTGTGGGGCTTCAGGGGACGCCGCTAGCTTACCCGGTCCGCGAGCAGAAGTGCCTGAAACGGTGCTCGCGACCACTGGACGTTCTGTGGATAGCGCCAAAATACGATCAATGACAGCTGGCAGTCCGCCAACGTGGCAAGCGGCGAAAAACGGCGGAACCCACGAAAAGCAGACGTCTGGCATATTCCGCGGATACTCTCGAATGCATGTCGTATGACGATATTCTGTATAACCTCGGATGTCAACGTAAGGTGTGAGGCGGGTTACAATTTTCACACATATACGACGTATGTGCAGTCAATCAGTCTGTGGTGTTGTCCCCGTAGTTCCTTTGTATTTACTCTGTATTCTCTGCCTATCTAAATGGCTGGCAGGATATTGTGAGCTGCTGTATATGATAAAAGGCAAGACAAAAGTCGGAGGAACTCGCTCCAACTCGGGCCAGACGCTCGAGACGACAGAACAAAAACTGGAACGAAGAAGGTAGAGCCCAGTCCACAGAAAGAATCAAACAGAACAAAGAAAGAACACAAGCAAAGACCACGCAACTCCTCAGACTCCACTGTTTTTCCAATCGTTCTCGTTCTTGCGGGTTCCTTGACACGTCTCTCAAAGTTGCCAGGTTGACGCCAACACGCCACTCGGCTCTCGACACACTGGACAGCTCACCAGACAATCCGGTTGTACATGTCCTGGGTCAGCAGGTCCGACACGTTGCCGCCATCCATCTCGGTCGCCTGGTCGCCGCCGCAGCCGCTGCAGCTGCACCAGAAGCCAAAGCGCTCAAACAGCATGCGCCGCGACTTGCCGTACGAAATGAGCAGCTCGGCGCCCTTGGCAATGCGGCCAACGGCCGTGAGGGTCAGCACGTCTTGGTGGCGGTCGTAGCGGTAGCCGACGTTCTGGGAGGGCGACGCGCTGCAGGCGTGGTTGAAGCGCGAGGCGACAATGAACAGGCCGTCGAGCTCGCCGGCGACAAATGTGTTGGCAGTCCAGATCTGCTCGTCGCGGGAGGCACGGGGGTCCGGGTGGTGGCCGGTGAGGGCGTCGAACTGGGCGCGGTCGGCTGTGGACAGGCGCGCGAGCTCTTGGATCAAGTGCATCATGTTGGTGCGCACGAGGGGCCGCTCGACCAGCAGGTGCTCGCCACGGAAAATGTCGCGCATGGCAAAGCAGCCAAGGCCACCAAGAGCCGAGGGGCGCACTTCAAACATGCCGTTGACCTGGAGGGTGGGCGGCGGGACAGGGTTCTGGAACGTGTCGGGCGTGCCGGTCGTGTCGGACGAGGTAGGCCTGGGCAGCGTCTCCGAGGCCGTGTGGGAGGTAGACGTAGAAGCAGTAGCGAGGGAAGCGTCGTCGGCGGCAGTAGCAGCAGCAGCAGCGTCGTTGGCCGGAACAGTCACGATCGTTGGCGGGCACATGGACGGAATGTCAATGTAGCACAGCCCGACAGCCGTCTTGACCACGTTCTTGCGCAACATGGGAAGCAGCCTGTGTTGTTGTGTTAGCAGAGGATTAAAATGGGGCGCAAGGCGCAAGACGTACGGAGACTCCAGTCGGTACACGCGCAAGCCGTCCTTGAAACCCCAGACGCGGAACTTGTCGGCAGCGTCGTCATCGCCAGTCGGGTACTCGAGCTCGACAACGCAGGGCTGCGGCGGGACACGGGGACGCTGGCAGTGTGGGCGACAGCCGTTGCGAAGACGCACTTTGGCCGTCAGGGCGCCTCCAGGGAGCTTGCCAGCGGAGCGCTGCTGGAGACAGTCGGCGCGGCCAAGGACAGAGAGGAAACCGTGGGCGTTGTTCACGGTGGTGCGGACGCGCTCGTCGGCGCGGATTTCGAGCTCCGACATGTCAGAACCGCAGGATGAGGCAGCGTAGTCGTCGCTGCGGTCCGACAAGACGTAGTCGGAGTTGGGGAATGAGGTATTGGGTGTGGCAGGTTCGGGTGTTGTGGCGTCGTTCGTGCTGCGGTTGTTGTTGTTGTAATCGTAATCGTCGTCGTCGTCGTCGTCGTTGTTGGGAGAGGAGGAGGAAGTGGAGGCGTCGTCCCGTTCAGTGCATTCCTTCCCGGCTAGAGCCTGGGCCTCAGTCTTTGCCTCGAGATTGCTTTGTCTGATCTCGTAGAGTCTGCATGGGACGACAGAGTCGTCCACGTCGTCCTCGTCACCCTCGTCCTCGTCACCCTCGTCGGCCGTTTCTGCAGAGTCAACCGAGCTGGCGGCTCTTTCTTTGCGTGCCTTCTTAGCCGCAGCCTTCTCTTCTGCCTTTACTTCTCTCTGTATGCGTAGTTTCCATGTTAGTTATGTGCTTCCCAATGTAATACCAAGAAGGGAAGGAGCGGGTGGGGCGATGTTTTCGTGACAGTCACCCCGTTTGGGAAGGAGGGTAGCAACGCTCTGTGCAGAAGAAACGTACCTTGAACTGGCGGATCTTTGATCTGTTGCGCTCCTCGTCGCTGGACTCATAGAGCCCAAGGACTCGGAGGCGCTCGATCAAAGGCATAACGCCTTTATTGCGGCTGGGAGAGAGAGAGAGAGGGAGATAGAGCCGAGGAGAGGGTGCGAGAGAGAGCGCGAAAAAGGGGAGGTTGGAGTGAGGATGAGGTAGGAGAGACGCGGAGAGCAAGGAAATAGGGTGAGAAAGCGTGTGTGAGCGTGAGAGATGGAGGGAGAGGAGAGGCAAGACACTGATTCGAGTGCTGAAGGTCGTTGACGGGGTAAGGTCCGGGTGCTTTGATTTACAAAGCACCAATGTTGAGTCAGGCTGAAGGAAAGAAGAAGGAGGATGAGGAGAGACAGAAGAGGTCGGGTTACCGAGATATTTATACCGGGGACTGAGAGTGCAGATTCGGGGAGAACAGCGTCCGGTTGAATAGCAAACGGAAGATGAGTCGGGGGTCATGACAAACAGTAGCAGTTGGTCATGGTTGGGTAGATGAGGAGCTGGTCTGAATGTGAGGTCAGTGCTTGCCAACGGAGGCTGATTGCGTTGTGGATGTGGGTTGGGGTGGAAAGCGAGGCAGAAGTAAAGGCATCATGATATTTGGAAAGATGAGTGACAAATGACGGCGACATCGACGGGCAGATGAGAAGTACATGAAAAGTAAGAGGATATCGCAGACATGGAATGGCCGTGATGCCAGAGTCGCAGATGCAGTCAAAAAAGAATAACGAAACGTGCAGAGTCTAAAGCTTCGCACATTGTATCTTCACTTTCATGACGATCCAGCCGTGTAAATATATAACGCGACTCTGCTTGTCATATTTCAGCTCAAACTACAAATCTTTTCACTTAGCTTTCATTGCTATACTCCTCTACCTCAAGATATTCAAAATTTCAATATGGTTGTTACCTTGGAACCAGTTTATTTCAACCTTTCCCGTGGCCATCGTTCCGTCTCAGATGTCCACAATCTATCTGTTCACTGCTTCTCTTCGAGTGGCACCCTATCAATACTTCTACTTCCATCTTAGTAAACCCCCTCCGCTTCTATCTAATTCTGCCGTAGACACCAGAGTACAGAAGCGTGTGGCACGTCTTGCGCCCGCTCCAGAACGGCCAGCTGCGACGAGTGCGTAAACACGCGGTCCAGCAGGGCCAGCGGCGGCGGATCAAAGGGCGGAATGTCGGGGAGAAGGGCACGGTTTCCTCCCGTCGCAGCACTGTCGAAGGCCTCTGTCTCGGCAAGCGACGCCCGGATCAGGCGCTCACGGCAACCGGCCAGAAGCCACTCGCACTTTTTCTGGAGCAGCCACTCCAGGGCGCGATGTGGCTCGACGTCGCGGACAAACTGCTGGTGGAGGTGGTGGCCATGGTCATCGTGGCCGAGGGCGTCGTTTTCGTGGTCATGCTCGTGATCGTGATCAAGATCATGATTGTGGTGGTGTTGGGGCTCTTCGTCGCTCTCGTCAGCTGCATCGCCTCCCCCACCTTGGTGGTATTTTTGTGTACACTGTCGGCAGGTCAAGCGCGGCACCTTCTCCTTGTCTTGCCCATCTTCTCCATAGCCATGGATGTGGTGCGCTTTGACATAGCCGCCATAGTAGCATTCGGGCGTGACAAAGCCGGTGCGACGGAGAAACTCAGCGGTAGCCAGCAGCCGCAGCAGTCGGTCGAGGTCTTGGAGGCGCAGATCGAAGAATACTTGGTCGTCGCGGAGGTCGTCGGCGCCAGCGTCGTTGCCACCACCTGGAGAGCGTCGAGTATGCCGCCCACCTGTCCGGTGCACTAGATTGTCTTCCCGCCGCCGGCCATCCTGGCGCACCGTGGCCTCGTCTTCGTAAACGTCCGCGAGTTGGCCAAAGTGGCCCTGCAGGATGCTGTCGCAGACTGTAAGTCCAAAGGGGTTTTCTTCGGTCTCCATATCTTCCTCTTCGCCGTCCACATCAACGTTCATATCAACGTCCTTACTGTCACCACCACCTCCGTCGTCACCACTGCCTGGCTCGTTCTGGGGACACAGATGCCGGTCAAGGAACCACAGATCGCGCGGCGCGCTGACAGAGAAAAAGAACCATGCCAGCTCCGCCTCGGCCTCTGCGGCGGCGTGTGCTGCCTCACGGGACGCAATGGCAAGCCGACGAAGGAAGCTGTTGTCGTCGCTTGACGCCGTTTCGGTCTCTGGCTCGCCGGCCAACGCCATCCGCATGCTCGCGTCAAATCCCCACTGCCGCGCCGTGTCTGCAAACGGCCGTTTGTCGTACGAGTACGGCGGCACCAGTGGCCGCGCATGTCCCGGCACGCGTTCCTGTACAATCCGCTGCAGCAGCCAGCGGACGTGTGCAATGTCGGGCGTCCACAGCGGGTGGACCAGGATGGCCGTCAGCTTGGCGCAATAGTCAACGAACCCGGCATTGCCTCCATCGCCCCCTCGTTGGCTTGGGAGGTGCGGCCGCAGCCCGTACCGAAACAGGTCGTCCAGGCCACAACGAAAACGGTGCTGCAGCACCTCCCACAAGCGCAGCTCGGCGTCAAAGGGCGCCAGGGTGTTGGGCGGCACGTCCGCCTGGAACATGCGCATCTGCTCGAGCTGGAAGCGCTCAAATTCGGGCGATGCGACAAATTCCTTGCTGCGCAGGGTCTGTTCGCGGGCGACGCTCCATAGACCGCGCTGGAACAGGTCGTCTGCCAAGCCAAACATGCTGCCCGGGAGCAGACTGCGGACATGGGCATCAGTCATTGGCGGTACCTGTTGCTGCGTTGAGGGGGAAGGGCCGTCGTCGACATCGGGATGGATAGAAGACGCTGGGAGTCCGTAGCTGCCTTCCGGTTCATGGTCGGAAGTTCCAACAACTGTAGACGTCCTCGGCTTTTGCGAAATCCGCTTTCCCTTTGTCTTCCCATTTCTTTGCCGTCTCGCTGGCGTGCCTCGTTTTCCTGTTTTCTGCCTCTTGTTCGTTGCCAGTGTCGTACTACAAGCAACACCATGTTGCTCCTCGTTTTCGATCCCTTCGTCCCATTTCCTCTTGATTCTCAAGCTTCGTCTGACAGTTGTGGGCGCCCCAGTTGGCTCCTGGCGTAGTAGTCGTGGCATGGTTGTCTGTCGATACATGGCGAATGATGCTATAAATGCTGTGATGCTTAAGGGCGGTCTGTTTGCTAAAACAAATCAAAAAACTCCGGTTTATACTAAAGTGAAATTAAATATCGTGTTCACTTTTTCTTTAAATTTACATCTTCTTCCTTCTTTATATCGACTCTCTGCCCCCATTTACCAACGCCACGGACTTGCCATCGCCGGGTATGGCAAGGCTTCAGAAGTCCCAACAGCGAGCGCGAGAGAAAGGCCATTGTTGACTAAAGGTGTTTTCTTTGAGTCTTAAGCCAGGGGCGCCCAGGACACTGCCGATTTTGCTTTGTCGTTTGGTCGTGTTTGTCCAGCCTTTGTTGAGGAAACAAAGCATTTCTCGAAAGGACAAAACAAAGCGGCGTGCGCGACGTCGATAGATACTATGCGTCAAGGCATAGACATAATCGCAAATGAGAGTGAAAGAAAATGCAAAGAAGAAGTAGGCCGAATAAACCACGAGTTCGTCTCTTCCTCTTTCTTTCTTTTTTCGTTTTTACTTGGCTCTGTGTACTCAATATCGGTGATGTCGTTTGCGCTATCTGTCAATAGAATCGGAGTTTCCGAATCGGGAAATGGACGTAAAAGTGCCCGTTAAGTTTTACCCGCCTTTCAGTCCTGGTACGAACGTATTTGCCTTCCTTCTAGAACTGTTCTCTCGATATTGCCATTAACGGATATCCCAGATTTACTCTCGTAGCTCATTGTGACGTCCGCGCGGTCAAGTTTTGTCCTCCCCATAGTGTCGTTTTCTGTCCAGCTGATGCAACCCCCACGCGTGTTTTTTTTTTTTTTTTCTTTCTAATAAAAAAAAAAAAAAAAAACGGACAGCGATCACTGTAATTCAAACTCGACCCAAAAACAGTGCCTCACCGCTTTCTTCACAGCGTGCATCTATCACATACCAACTCGTTCACACCGACCGTGTCGTACAAATGCTAGTTCCAGGAGAAACAGAACCCTCAGAGAAACGAGCCGCGCTAGAAGAACGTCCTTCATAATGCTCATTTGAAATGACGGATGTCCTTTGAATATAGTTCGCTGGCGTCGTTAATTGAGGACGGCGGAAAGAGCCCTAGACTCGTCATGAGGGACTGGCCGTGGCTTCCATTTTGGGCAATTGACCAGCGCGACGCAGTGGAGAAACAGGGGCGAAGTAAGCTCGATGCAAAGGGAAGGAACCTGTAGCCATCAAAGACTATATGTAGGGAAAGAGTATCATTTCAACGAACCGACTGGATTCATCGAGGCCATCTAAGCCGTGCGACCTTGTCGAGCAAAATCCAGCAAGTAATTACCAGAGTGCCATCCCAGCGCTGCACGCCACCGACTCCGCACCGCCGCCACGCCTGCCACCGACCCCACAACTAAAGGAAGGGACAATCAGCACGAAGCGAGACAAGCATATTGACCCAGACCAATACGGGCAGTGAGGAAAGAAAAAAAGTTGAGAGGAAGAAACAAGAACAAGAGAAAGCAACTCCGACATCAAAAACTACCCAATCTCTCTAGTCTTTCTCCTGTTTGTCACATTCTCTTCACACTCCGCCAGTCTTTGTAGACAACAGTTCTCGCCGACACTCTCACTTGACCTGACCTCACGCAGCGTTTTGCTTCCTCCAATCCCCAGCCAATTGGCCTCTGAATAACAACATCCGCTTTGCCTCAGGCTCTTTGCAAGCCGACAGCCGCTCTTTCAAAGTCCTCGCAGCACGCAGTCGCGATGTTGGCCTGGTATGTCACGTTCCCTTCCTATCAGCCACTCAACTGCACGCCCTCCCTCTACTGACCCGCGCCCAGGTACAAAGCCCGCCTCGCCGCCCGGCCCTTGCTCACCCAGAGCGTCACCACGGCCGTCCTCTTTGCCGTCGGCGACATCACCGCCCAGCAGCTCGTCGAGCGCCGCGGACCCACGGGCCACGACTCAATGCGTACCGGCCGCATGGCCCTGTACGGCGGTGCCGTCTTTGGCCCTGCCGCAGCCACCTGGTACGGCATCCTGCAGCGGCATGTGGTGCTGAGCACGCCGCGCAAGACGATGCTGGCGCGGGTGGCGGCGGACCAGGGCGTCTTTGCGCCCGTGTTTATCGGTGTCTTTTTGAGCAGCATGGCCGTCCTCGAGGGCGGCTCGCCGCAGGAGAAGCTCGAAAAGAACTACAAGAACGCGCTGACGGCCAACTACATGCTGTGGCCGGCGGCGCAGATGGTCAACTTCTCGCTGGTGCCGTTGGAGCACCGTGTGCTCTTTGTGAACCTGGTGTCGATTGGCTGGAACTCGTACCTGAGCTATCTCAACAGCTCAAAGTAGGGACCGGCATACGGAGGGGCGGCGGGGGAGGGCAGAACGCTGGGCGTCGTCATAGACCTTGACGTTGCATGTCTTCCTGATCTTCCCACGGCGTTGGATTTCGGTTGTTTGAGTGATACGACCTGCATCTCTGCGTTCCATTGCGTTCCGCGTTCCATTACAAAATACAAGGGCCAGTGCCCCTCTTTGCTCTTTTGTTGCTATATGTTTTTTATCTTGCTTCTTATATTAACGTAATCCAAACCCAAGACGCTTCATAATATAAATTTGCGTGAGTCGCGCTGCGCTGTGTAGCCATCCTTCCGTCCCTCCATATTCCATTCATATTTGTTTTTACGTTGCCATTTCTCTAAATCAAAATTAACCTTCCAGAAGAGCCGGCGCCACAATGGACTTGCCCTTGAAGGCCTCCAGGCCCTCGCCGCCGTAGCTGACCAGCGGCGGCACCTCGATACCCGTCTCAGCCGGCACCACATCACTCCGCGCGTCGTCGCTGACGGTCACGAGCGCGCCGGCCGCCTCCAGCCACCGCCGACCCTGAAGCAGAATGTCACGCTTGCTGGTGTCCGGGTTGTCGTTGGCAGTGCCGCGGGCGTTTTTGAGAGGCGAAAAGTCGTCCTCGCGGCGCACTTCGAGACACGCAAACTTGGCCAGCGGCACGCGTGGGAACACGTCAAAGACAAACTGCTCCAGCTTGATGCCGTTGGGCGTCGACGGCTTGACCGTCTCGCCCGACGTCAAATCGGCGTGGGGGATCTTCTTGCGCGCCACGTGGTGCGGCAGGTCGCGCGCCCACTGCGGGATCGTCTCGAGGAAGCGCAGGCTGTAGTAGTGGTTGACAATGTTGGCGGCGCGGAACTTGAGCACACCAGGCTGGTGCGGGTCCTGCGCCTCGGCCGTCGCAGAGTCAATCTCGCTGTACTCAACCACGTCCGGGCGGCCGTTCTTCTGCAGAATCAGACCGACCGACTCGGTGGCGTTGCGCTTGCGCACAACCTTGGTCGCAATGTCGACGTCCTTGCTGGCCGCGAAACCCAAAAAGACCGGGTCGGCCACGCGCACCAGGCAGTTGTCCACGCAGTAGGCGTGCACATGCTCGATGCCGCGCGCCTTGAGGTCGGCCAGAATGCCCGCGCCGACCATGGCCTGGTACAGGCCGCCGTTGCCGTCGGGCGCCACGGCGACCTTGCCCTTGGCCTCGAGCAAAATCTTGCCCTCGTTGGAGATGCAGGGCAGCACGCCCTGTTCGAAGAAGAGGACGTTGGCCTTGTCGAGACCAAAGTACTTGTTCTCGACGAAGAAGGCCTCGGTCGGGCCCCGCGTCGGTCCGCTCGTCATAATGTACCAAGGGACCACGGCGTTGGCGCCCGCCAGCTGCTGGATCTTGAGGATGCGCTCAGCCTGGATCTGGAACAGCGACTTGGACGACGGCAGGCCAATGTCGTAGCAGCCCTTGGGCGCCGAGCTGCCCAGACGCGTGCCCTGGCCGCCGGCCATGAGCACCACACCGACCTTGTTCTGGCTGATCAGCTCCAGGCCTGCCTTGTACCAACCGGCAATGGCACTCGCATCAGAGTCGAGGATACTGGCGGTGGCGGATTCGGGGAGGGGTTCCAGGACGGCGGGGCCGCTGTCGGCCGGGGGCGTGGGGTGTAGAGCCTCCTTGGCGAGCTCGTTGATGCGGGTGGGGTCGAAGAGGGCAAGCTGCTTCACGAGGTCGGCCTGCTCGGCGGCGGACAGGCTGTCGTAAAAGGTAAACACCTGGCCCTGGCCGGCGGCCGTGTACTTTTGCCGGAGCTCGGCTACGTCGACAGACGCCATTGTGGATGTGCGAGAAGAGAGGAAAGGTAGTAGAGGTGGGAGACTTAGTCGAGAGGATGTGAGAAACTGGACTGACAAGATGGTTAGCTTCAGCCCGTGCCCAATTGAGTGGTTAGGGAGTAGAGTACCTTTGGAGCAGAAGTTTCGTAGCACGGGGAGCAGAGCTTGAAGAAGAGGATGAGGTGAATGTAGTTTGGAGAAAATGAAAAACTGAAAATAAGAAGCTGGAGAGAGAATAGCGTTAGATGAAGAAAAGGGGGGAATAAAGTAAACTAAATAGAAGGTGCGGTGTACGAAATAAAGTAATTACGGGACACGGATGAGGCAAGAACGGGCGCCACGGAAGGAGCCAGGCCAGGCATCCTACTCCGTATTACAACATACAAGGTCTCACATCATCACCCGAAAAACAAACCGCAGAAGGAACAGAGTGATGCCAAATATAGACGCTAGGCGTGCAATTGAGCTGGGCTTGCGTTTGGAGGAAGAAGAGGAGAAGGAGTCGATAGTATTTCGTACTCAGAACGACGTACTCAGTGGAGGGGCAACCACACGTCAGTGTGGGTTGAAACAAGGCACAGGCAAGCTCTGGGCGAATACGGGTCAGAGAGGGGCAGAAAGAGGACAGAATAGGGCAGGAACGGCGGCGGGGCAACAGCGCAAGGAAGGTGTGATGGATGTCTGACTGGAAATGCAAATGGGCCTTGTGGCAGCCGCGCCACGTCCCATTCGCCAGGGTCTTGTTCCTTGCTAGGGCGGCTGGACTAGTGGGCCACAGCAATAACGCCCATTCAAGCCCCGGCAACGCAGGTGCGGCTGACAACGCCGTGGCCAATTTTGCCGTCTTTTGGCTCACTTTCAGGCCGCACTTTGTAGTTGTGGGCAAAGACAGTTGCGGCTTCGGTAGGACATCGGTAGGAGAGCAGCGAAAACAGTTGCTCTCGTGAACAAACGAAGCACAGCCCCACCGATGTACAAGACGAGGTCTAGAATGGGAGTAGAATGGAGTCTCTGTCCGATAATACGAGTTCAGAGGCAAAGTAAAGAGCTTGAAAGAGAGACGAAGCACAACAACACAAATGCCACGACATACGGACATGGCAACTGGGCAAAAGAGCAGCCTTTCCTGGTTTCCTATCAAATGAGCAAAACGCCTAGAGTTCCTGGATCTCACACATGTCTTGGCCAAACAACAATTGGACATGGCGTGCGCAATAAGCTCAGCCTTGCGTCAGCTGAGTTCTGGAGTGGACATCAACGTGATCTTGGTCACTGTTCATTATGCCAGATCACAAGTGAGCTCGTAACAAGCCGTCCATATTGCTTTTCAAGAAGAGTTTGCGGGTGCGGAGGAGTCTAGCACGCACTGGTTACCAGATTGACGGGTCCGATATATTTTGTCGTAGATGCTGACATACTCTGTAGGCTACATTTTTTTAGCCGTTCATTGCTTGGTGTCCGACAAAGTTTCCGGATCTGATCCTATGGTACAAGAACGGACATCAGCCCAGCTATACGGTGTGTTTGTGGTAGGGATATCAATATTTAGAATACGAATACGGCCGTACCATTCCATCTTCACAAAAAATTGAAAAAGGAAGGTTTCCTATTCTTTGCGACAGTCTGTACAGAATACCTGGCCTCAGGGGTAAGGACCGTTATGCTTGGTCGCACTAAACCAAAGCTGGCCAGCACGTAAAATTCAGAACACCTAACCCATTTGCTGCCTTCCAAAGTCCTGTTATGCTGCCAGACTGCTTGAGTATGACTTGGCGACTGCGTATCGTGATAGTTCATCTAACCGACACGAGTCGCCTATGAAATTCATATATAATTGAACCTGACTAGTCGGTACTCGGTGTTTTTCAGTCATTTATATAGGTCTTCCTTGTCTTTGTGCATGATTGACTCATTGACAATGGCCGACGACGCAACGCCGCTGCCGTCGTTTGGCGGCCGTCTCGCCAACTTTGCATACACGGGGAACGAAGACGATGCCGCGAGTCCGTCTTCGGCACGGAGTCTGCGCAGCCGAAGCATCACAACGCCAGCGGCCCGCTCGACCCCGGGCTCGCCCGCCAAGTCTCCATTGCAAACCGCAATGAAGCGCAAGCTGGAGGATGCCGGTGAGGCAGACGGAACAACCCTCGGTGCTGTCCCCAGATTTGCGGGGGCGTCAGCCCATTCTGCAGCATCCTCACCCAGTCCGTCGCCGACAAAACAGTCGCGCCGCTCTCGGCCGGCGAAACCTAGCAAATACGCCCCGCCCACCACCTATGCGCACCTCCCGTTACTGCCGGACGCCATCGCACCCAATTTGTTGGTACTCTTCGTCGGCCTCAACCCGGGCATCGAGACCGCGCGGTCCGGCCATGCATATGCACACCCCTCCAATCGCTTCTGGAAGCTCATGTACAGCAGCGGGGTCCTGCCGGAATGGTGCACGGCGCAGGAGGACCGGACGCTGCCGGCGCGGTTCCGGCTGGGGCTGACGAACATCGTGGCGCGGCCGTCGCGGAACGGGGCTGAGCTGAAGCCGGCCGAGCTGGACGCCGGAGTGGCGATTCTGGAAGCAAAGGCGCGGCGGTGGCGGCCAGAGGTGATGTGCTTTGTGGGCAAGGGGATCTGGGACAGTGTGGTACGTGTGCGAGCGCGGCAGGGACGACCGAAGCCGGCGTTCAAGTACGGATGGCAGGATGAGAGCGAAAACATGGGAGTGTCTGGCGGCGATGGCGATGGGGGCGGCCGACAAGAGCGAACCGCCAACGAGGAGATTCTCGGCGACGAGGAGAGTGCAAAATACGTCGATGAGTCCAGCGTTCGCGTTGACCCCGAATGGAAGGGCGCGCGCGTGTTTGTTGCCTCAAGCACGAGCGGGCTCGCGGCATCACTACTGCCTGCCGAGAAGGAGGCCATATGGCGGCAGTTGGGCTCGTGGGTAGAACAGAGGCGGAAGGAGACGAAAGAAGTGACCGGTTAAGTCGGTCTGTATGTCGAGCGAGTTCTTGTCATACTGTCATTAATGATGAATGAGTAGTCATGACTTTGTTATTGCTACAGTAAACGTGGGAATCATGAAAGATATAGAAACAAAAAGCTGCCCAAGCCCAGCACGCGTGCACCCACCAAATGGTCCTCGTGAAAGGTCCCATCTGGGGCCAATGAGCATTAAAAATGTACACGAAAATGTACGAGAGAAAAGGGGGGGTAAAGGGGGTAAAACCTCCCCGAAACGGGGTATTCCAAGACGCCGGACCGAAAGCCAAATCTAAATCGTTTTGTCATCACCGATCACCATCCACTCCTCAATGCCCCTCTTACAGGGCAAACACAATGGCGACAACTGTGACAACGGCCGGCCAGTAGCCTGCGTGCTGCAGCAGAGTCTGCATGCCGCTGCCTGCGTTCGGGCTGTCGGTGCCGCCGCCGGCCGTGGTGCCGTTTTCCAGGGTGCCGTTGATGAGTATGGTGCTGGTGCCATTGACGTCAGCGACGCTCACCTGGTTTGCGGCGAGAGCGGCAGTCGAGCCGTTGCCGATGAGGTCGTTCATGTAGGTGGCGTTGGTGTTATCGTCGCAGGCGCACTCGACCGTCTGATCGCAGCCGCAGCCAACGTTGCGGGTCTCGTTCTTGGCGGACGACTCGTTGTAGTATGTGTAGGGGTGGCTGTAGGGGTAGTAGTAGATAGGGTGGTACCAAAGACCGGGCCAGAAGGCAAGGCCGGCCAGGCCAACGCCAGCAAACGCGCCAACGGCGAAAGGAGCGACACCCGAGGGCGAGCGCTGGCCGGAGCGGTAGGGCACAGCGGCGCCACCGCCGTAGTACTGGCCACCGCCATAGGCCGGGGCGACACCACTGCCGGTTGTAGTGCGGCCGCCGGTGTTAGACGACGTAGAGCCGGCACCCTTGCCGGTGCTGCCGGAGCTGCCGGAGCTGCCGGAGCCACCAGATGAGCCACCTCTGTGGTTGGAGAAAGTAAAGAAAATGTTTAGTAGATGGACACATAAGAGGGGAACCTCGCATAAAAGCTTACCTGCCACCAGACGAGCCACCGCCAGACGACGAGCCACCACCAGACGAAGAACCACCGCCTGATGAAGAGCCACCGCCCGATGAAGAGCCACCGCCCGACGAAGAACCACCACCAGAAGAGCCGCCGCCGCCACCACCACGGCCGCCGCCGCCGCCGCCGCCCTTGCGCCGGAACAGCTTCTCGTCGAATGCGTCGCCAATGTCGCGCTTTGCATCGTTAGAGGATGAAGACGCAGAAGAATGGAAGCGCACGGCGAGTGCAGGTGACGTGTTGTCGAGAGCAGGCACCGCGGGCACAGCCACTGCGTGGACGATGGGCGCCGACAGGGATACTGCGGCGGTAACGATACTGAACTTCATTGTATCTGTGTTGTGCTGATGTGCTGCACGATGTTTGCTGTTGATGAAATATGCAATGTATCAAATATGGACGTGTGACGTCGATATGTTGATGTGTTGGATGTGTTTCGGAATGTATGGCCAAACTGGTTGTGAAGTTGGATTGGAAAGACGAAAAAGAAACTGTGACACAAGGGGGTTTTGCTATGGGGTGGGGTGTGTTTGTTTTATATCCGGAAGACGAGGCAACAAACGACGATGGCGAAATGGAGAAAGATGGGAAAGAAACAACGATGGCATACGATGCCGACACAGGCAAGAGCGAACAGTAAACTTAAATCAGGAAGTCACAAAAGGGAGACAGAGAAAGGGAAAAAACGCCGTAAGCGACCAAGCCTCCCTGCAAAAGACAGACAGGACTGCCTCGGGATCAGCCTACCAACGCTTAGTCTTGGCTCTCTGCCATCTTTTCCGTCTTGGCAACATTTTCATTTTGTTTCGCGGCCGCTCATTTGGGGCGCGAGTTCACAAAAAGTGGATGGGAGCGAGCTATGGCCCCCCTTTCCGGCGTGCTCTTTCCCACCTGAGCCGGTAAGATTTGTTGTGTGGCACTAGCGCCAAACAAAATACGACGTGCGATGTTCAACTCTGGGGTTGGAAAGAACGAAGCACAAGGGGCGCTCAGATTCCTGTCCCGGGAGTATCTGCCAAGTATTTAATGGGTACACTGCCGGTTCGTAACCTGTAAAGAGCAAGATTGCCTAGAAAAGCGCCGTGGCTTGGTTTACAACTTCGACGCCCTACGTAGCTGAATGCATCATGCGACATGAATGCGATCCCTTCGTTTCGCTCGCGTTAAACATTCGAACAAGCAGGGGGTGTTGTGTTGGTCTGTCCATTGCCGTCATTTCGGTGTGGTGGGCCAATCAGCAGGCTTAGTGAGGAATAAAAGTAAGCCACAATTACACTGAAGAGCGCTGTCACCGCTGAATTTACAGTGAAAGCCTTAGCACCCTTAGGCGTGGACCAGCAGGTGAATTATGCTTCTTCCTTTTCAGGGGTCTGGTAGCACTAGCGCGACCTTTATTTCATTCCTCGCTCCTCGTCGGGCTCCTTCAGACGATTACTGGACTTGCAGGACGCTAGCACAAGGTCCGGGCGTGGCAGGGCACGAAAGACAGTGGCGACGGAACAGCGAAATAGGGTTGCCAGCAGTGAACATATGCTCGAGTTGGCCGAGCTTCTGGGACTGTTGGGCACAGCCACAATTACTGACCCAACCCAGCACTCAGGTAAGGAAAGCGCAGTTGGGCGGGATAATTTGAGATCGTCCGAGGAAAGAACAAAAAAGAAGAATTTCCATTCAGCGTCATTTTGGAGCATTTCTATTCACGTTTGGAATCAGCTTGTGCCCTAGTAATGCGATTTGGAAGGAGACTCTCAGATCAAAGCGCACATGGGCTTGTCGGTGTATCCGTATTGGCACCAAATCGACATTTGAGATGCACTCTGTTGTCCCGTGGATACGCGATTACAGGGCTTTCGAGGTGCCCTGCACTACAGCGCTGTCACGTATCAAGCGCCACACTGAGGAGTAATTACAGCGCGCTGCACTGCCCGGATTCGGGCGTAAGATTAGGTAGGTAAGGACATCGTGATCGGTCCAACGCCGCTCGCCATTTGCCTCTCCGTGCTACCCACGGAGCACATGTCCCTGCTTTGATTCGCATGTGCAATGCAAGTACGAAGCATCACCCACACCCGCCCAAAAGGAATGCCCGTAAGGCAGGCCGCACGGCATATTGCTCCATTCGGTTGGTGCTTGCCCTGTCCCAAGGAAAAACGGAGAAACTCGACAGACGAGAATCAGGTCAGGCATCTTTCCAACAGCCAAGACGAAGGGGCGGAGGTTGAATCTCGAACCTGTCAAGATGCTCCGTTGGCAAAATCCCGCCGGCTCAAAAACAGTGTTCACAATCCAAGTCAATCCAGGCTCGGAGCAATTCAACTTTGCCGGGCAACGAGAGCCAGTATCTTTCAATATATGACGTGCATTGACATTCAAAACACTTGAAAAACAAAAGGAACTATGCTTCTCATAATAATATCTATCGTTTTATTTTTATTTGAGCAAAATGGAAGAAGCCATGAGTAGTCAGGCTTGTTGTGAGAATAGCTACATTACTCATAACACCAGTGTACCCGACGTCATTTTCAAGTTTCATTTTCACTATTGCATGACTCGATCGAAAGTCTTGACGTTCCATGTTGAATGCCAATGTGCAATTTTCAGTTCATGTGCCTGACGAGACCCATTTTTCTCATAGCAATCCGCCGGCAACAATATCCCACCTCGTCCCACTGAAAGCTAACTGTAAAGGCAATACCAGTAGTGCGAGGCACAGCACAAGGTTCCCCAGGTGGAAGTCGCGTCCATACCTCAGATATTGCTGAGAGTACGACGTGGCGAGGATCGACAACAAATCCCAGTAAGTAATTCGTACATCTCGAAAGCATAGTCAGGAAACCTGTGGCCACACCGTTCTCCAGAGGACATCCCCTTCTTCCGGCCGCACCCTCCCTCCGCACCCTCCCTCCGCACCTAGGACCCGCTCGTCGTATTCTCCGTTGTAACCCTTTCCCATATTCTGCATTTCCCCTCACGTTGTCGATTGTTGCACAGCCTCGTTCGCCTCTGCACCCTGCATGCACGATTACACACCGGTCCACGGAGTTCGGCAGAGCACTGGCTATTGGACCACATAATGTCGGTGCCGTCCAAGCCGGACCGGAGCTTACTAGACCGGCTTAATGCGCTTAAGCCGTCGAGCGTCTCGTTGGCCGCGCCACAGCAGAGGTATCTTGGGTCACAACAACTCGTCATGTGGCTGGATACAGGTTACTAACACGCCCAGTCCTGGTGACCCGGCAACTACAACAACAACCCCAACTGGTGACATATTGTTCACTCCCCCATCAAATGCATCAGTCACAAGAGAAGACCGCCTAGCCGCACGCCTAAAAACGCTGCGGGAAGTGCGCGATGGAAATGGCAGCGATGGTGACAATGCCAATGACGTGAGTGGCAAGTCGGAGAAGCAAGTATCATCTTCATCAGAGAAACAGTCTTTGAAGAGTGGCGGTGCCACAGCAGATGGAAACAGTCCTAGGGCAGCCGACGCCGAAGAAGGCGAGGTGGTAGACGACCCGCTGTTCTATGTCGATTACGAGGCCGTCGACGATTTGCTGCTTGATCTCGCCGCAGAAGGCCTCGGTGAGGATGAACTCGGCGAAAGCGATGATGAGGCTGACCGTCTTGCACGTGAAGATGGAACGGACGGTGGTGGTGACGATATAATACCACTGCCAAGCGTCCCAAAGGATCTGAGGGATGCATCCAGTGGCGAAGAAGACGATGATGCAGACAACTCCCAAATGGTTGAGAATTTGTTGAAGAGCCTGGACGGGACGGCCTTCAAAGACGAGAAGCTAAAAACCAGCAAGAATGGTGCCCCGGAGACTGCCTCAAAAGACGCTGACTCGGACGACTCGGACGGCGAAGATATGGAGCGTGAAGTGCGACGTGTCCTGGAACAGAACCAAGACGAGGCTGACCTGGCCAGACAAAGAGGCGAAGGCGGCAACGAGCAAGCAGATGAAGATGAAGACGAAGATATTGTCACTGGTCCTCGCAAACGCGACCCCAACCAGGAGGACAATATCCTACCACGGGATAAGCCGAAAGCCACAGACGACGTCAAAGACAACTTTTTGGGCCTCCCGACCGTCCCGACCAAACTTGTCGACCCGCCACCGTCCCCGCCGTCGCTCCCCTCTGCGCCTACCCAAAATTTACCCAACCGCGGCGACGACGACGACGACATCTCTGCCCGCCTCGCTGCCCTGCGGGGCCTCCAGGGCAAGGCCACCGGCCTCGGCCAGACCGACGCCGTTGGCATGCCCTCCGCCCCGACCTTCCACCCGGGCGAGGAAGAGGGCGGTGTCTTGAAGCGCGGCCACTACGGCCACGGCCGCCGCAACTACACCGATGTGGACCAGAAGGCCTGGTGTGTCGTGTGTCTAGAGGACGCGACGGTTCGGTGTTTGGGGTGTGCCGACAACCAAGAAGGGCCCGAAGAGGACCAGAACAATGCCTACTGTGCCGGCTGCTGGCGGGACATGCATGTCGGACCGGCCGCCGGTTTCGACGAGCGCGGGCACAAGCGAGTGCCTCTTATGAGGTGACGACGGCATCCGGCTATCATACACACTTTGCCCACGTAGTTATGACGTATGACTAGATATAATTATTGAATGTCTTGCATACTTCCAAGCGTGTTTTTCCCAAATCTCGCCGTTGCCCAGTTTCTCCCGTAGATGCCAATCCCTTTCCTTACTTAAAGTGTGTTTCTGTGCGTGCCACCCAATTCCAAGGAATACAATATGCTAAGCCAATCTGTTAAAACAAGGGTAAATAAAACAAGTGGAAACAACAAACATAAAAATAAATACCAGTCTTGCCAGTAAACCAACCTCCCCATGAAATACCAATTGCCTGTACCAAAACCAAGTAACAAATGAATAAAAAGCAATTCAAACTCACCACCTCCCCATCTCCTACGATTGCGAGTTGGACCCATAGTTGGCTCGGTTCTCGCCATTGCCCGTGCGGCCGGTGATATCCTGCCATGTCGCGCCAAACCGCCGGCCTGTGCTCGCCAGCAGGCCCTCCTCTTCATCCGCCTCGGCCTCCTCGTCAATTTCAGACAGGTTCAGCCGCGGGGTCCGGAACAGGGACGTCATAAACACAACCAGGAACACGCCCAAGAACGCAAACTGCGCCCAAAAGTCAATGGCCCCAAACACAGGCCAGTTGAGTGTTATCCGGTTCAAAAACGTCGACATCACAGTCGGCGTACACACGTCCTTGGCCGCGCGGTCCTGATACGCCTCTGAACATGGCTTGATCCAGTCGGGGTGGCCCGTACAATCCGGCTGCTCGTCCGGACGCAGCGGCGGGTTCATGCAAAACGTCTGCGTGCCGAAATTACTGTACTGCGGCGCCACCAGCATCGCCACGGCGTAGTTGATGGCCAGGATCATCAGTGCCAGCATCACCGTCGCCGCCAGGATGGCCTGCGGCGCCGTGCGGCCCTTTTTGATCTGGAAGATGCGCACCCACAGAAAACGGATGCCGACCGCGGCGAGACCTGAGATCGAGCTGCTGAAGAAGTATAGCACAAGCAGCGCCATCAGCACATAGTCCACGGGGAATGCTTGCGCCGCCTTCATAAAGATCCAGTTCGTCGGCTGGAACACGTTGATGTGGCCCAGGATGTAGCCGCAGTGCTGCTTGCACACCGAGTTCGCCGCCTTGTCAATACCCGTGATGATCATGGAGATCACAATCAAAACTGACAGGGCCAAAAAGAAGATGCCGCCCAGCAGCTTCAGCGGTCGGAACACCGCTTGCATCTTGCTCCACCACCGGAACACCCAGCTGCGACCCTCGCCACTGGCCTCTGCCGCCAGCCGCTCACGCCGCACCAGCGTACGCTCCTCGCGCATCAGCGCCTCCATCTCCCGACGGTCCTTGGCTGACATGCCGTCATTGCGACCGGCGTTGCGCATCTCGAGCTGCCGCTGCCGCTCGCGGTTCTGCTCTAGTGCCGATGCCGTCGTCTCGCTCAGCTGCGGCGCCGAGATTGAGGGAGCCGACTTGATAAACGAGATGGGCAGAAGAGCCAGGCCAGCGCCCGTGTACAGGACGTACAGCAGTGTGCCGAGCGTCACCAAGAGGCCCACCGAAAAGGTCAGCGCCTTTTCGCCATTGTTCTCCGCAAGAAGCTTTTGGAAGTAGTCGAGGTCCAAGTGCTTGCCAGCGCCCTTACGGCCAGCCGCAGGCACGAAGAAGCCAATGAGGAAGAGCGCCACAACAAGCACGAGGAAGATGGCTGTGTACTTGAATGCACTCCACAGCCGCCCGCTGAACGGCTTGTTGCGATTCTCGTCCTCGTCGATCTCGTCGTACTCCTCGAACCAGAAGTACGTGAACGGGATCACTACCAAGCACAGCAGCGCGTCGAAGCTGTACAGAGTGTAGTAGGCGATTTTGAGCGTGCTCAAGATGCCTTCAATGTGCTCGGGTGTAGCCCAGTCCTTCTTGGCGCCGAGAGAGGTGGCGGTTGTCGACGAAACGAGGGCAATATCAACGGGGAGCAAGAAGACGGTAGCGAGTAGGGCCGTGATACTGACAACGGCGACAGAACTGACACCCGCGGACCGGTCGCGCGGCGCCTGCCATGTAAACGTGGTGATAACGGCAGCCACCAGCGCCAGGCCGACAGCCACCGCATAAGCGATCCAGATCAGGCTGGTTTGGAGAAGGCCAGCCATCTTGGAGAGCAAAAAAATATATAGGTGTCGCAGTCTGTGCGAGTACGGCACGGGAGAAAGCGGGACAGAACAGTCGGTATGGGACGAAAGTGCAAAATGTAAAATGGTTAACCGGTGTAGCCGGTCGAGCTGGCGTCGGATGATTGAAAGCGGATATGGAGACCTCGGAACAGAGCGTTGTCGTCAGGAACACAGAAAGGATTTTGCGTGTTAATAGTTGGTTTGTTGACTTGTTCGATTAGATCCGCGGGATCCATTCAGTGAAGCTGCATGATGACACCCTACGACGGAGTGTGGAATACGCGCGCGGTCGTGTTGTGGCACCACGCTCGTTTTGGTGCCGCAGTGGGTTGTTTGGAATGAAGAGCAAGGGAGAGGAAGTCGAAAGGAAGAAGGGAGAGTTTGGTGATCCGGAAATAAAAAGGTATATGAGCAATTATGTCTGTCGCAGCAAAAACGGAGAGAGGAAAGAGCAAACGAGAATTGAAGCGTGTTGAGAGGGTGCAGAAAGCCCACCTTCCTAAATCGAAATCGAAGAGAAACAAGAACCTCGTCAGTTCGTGCCTTCCTTCGAAACAGGGTTTCAGGTCGTGACGCAATGGAAGCAAAAAAGGACCTCTGGCGTCCGCCACAGGAAGCTTATGTGGGTCAACCCGGCCATAAGCCTATCAGAACAAGTAGCAACAGTCAAAAACTAGCGGCAGACAGGCTGAAGGAGCGCCTGGAGAAAGTGCGACCCTGCAAAAGAGTTCCGCCTGGAAGTTCATGCCTGTGCCTGGGTCGCACCTGCCGCCAGCCAATCACCGAGCTCCATCCCGGTCTGCGCGTTGTCGCTTCTGCATTTGGCAATTGGCGTTTGGCACCATAGTTCGACCTGATGGTATCGCGACACTAGTTTTTGCTGCCTCGAAACTCCACAGTACGACTCACTGCAGCCCCTTCGCACCACACCACCTCCTACCGAACTGTGTTAACTTCAGCCCTTGCACGATCACGCGATAACATGGTCGTCCTCTGCGCAAGACGACAATGCAGTGCTACACCGAGCTAACGCCGCCCACGGGCGTCACGCACTCGCTCACCCTTGCCCTGACCTCAGCGCGCAGCAACAACCTCGTCGTCGCCAAATCGTCGCTGCTGCAGGTATTTACGACCAAGGCCGTGCCCACAGACCTCGACGTGCAGGCCGACGCGAGCTCGACCGCCCAGGCCCCCTACACCCAAGCTGCGGCCTTCGACAGCCGCATCAACAATGACGATGAAGACGGGCTGGAGACGTCGTTTCTCGGCGGCGACTCTGCGCTTCTGCGGTCTGACAAGGGCATTTTGACAAAACTGGTGCTGGTGGCCGAGTTCACTCTAGCAGGGACCGTCACGGGTCTGGCTCGCATCAAGGTTGCGGGCACCAAGTCGGGCGGCGATGCGCTGCTCCTCGCGTTCAAAGACGCGAGGCTGAGTCTTGTCGAATGGGACCCCGAGTCCAACGACCTCTCCACAATCTCCATCCACTACTACGAGCAGGACGAGCTGCAGGGTGCACCATGGGCCGCACCACTGGGGGACTATGCCAACTTCCTCGTCGCCGACCCCGGCAGCCGATGTGCAGCGCTTCGATTTGGCGGCCGCAACCTTGCCATTTTGCCGTTTCGCCAGCCCGACGAGGAGGATATTGACATGGATGACTGGGATGAGGAGCTGGACGGGCCGCGGCCGGCCAAGGATGCGGCTGCGGCCGTGGTCACCGGAGCTGGCGGGCCCATTGAAGACACGCCGTTTGCGCCTTCGTTCGTTCTCCGCCTCTCCAACCTCGACCCGACCCTTTTGCACCCCGTCCACCTCTCGTTCCTCCACGAATACCGGGAGCCCACCTTTGGCATTCTCTCCTCGGCAACACAGCCGTCGACTGTCCTCGGCCGTCGCGACTGCCTCTCGTACATGGTGTTTACACTGGATTTGCAGCAGAAGGCGTCTACCACGATCCTCTCGGTCACCAATTTGCCCCAGGACTTGTTCCGCGTTTTTCCTATGCCGTCGCCCATCGGCGGTGCTCTGCTCATTGGCACGAACGAGCTCATCCATATCGATCAGTCTGGCCGTGCTAATGGCGTGGCTGTGAACCCTTTCACGAAACAGAGCACATCCTTTGGCCTCGCCGACCAGTCGGAGCTCGGCCTGCGACTCGAGGGCTGCAATATCGAGATTATGTCCCCGGAGTCAGGTGAGCTTCTCCTGGTTCTGAACGACGGCAGGATTGCGGTGGTGACACTCGTTTTGGACGGCCGGGTTGTATCCGGTGTGAGCATAAAGCTCGTCTCACAAGAAGCGGGCGGCGGGTCCCTTTTATCGGGCGTCGCCTGCCTCACACGGGTTGGCCGACAGGCGCTATTTGCCGGCAGCGAGGATGCCGACTCGGTTGTCCTGGGATGGTCGCGGAAGCAAACAGAAACGACACGCCGGAAGCAAAAAAGCGGCGACGAGCCCTTTGATGACGACCTAGAAGACGGCGAAGAGATTGAGGATGAAGAAGACGACGACGACCTGTACGGGGATGGTCCGTCGACAATGCAGCTATCTAATGCGCAGGGCGGCTCTGGGAAGAGCAGCGGCGACTTGAGCTTCCGCATCCACGATCGCCTCATCAGCATCTCGCCGATTCGGGACATGACCTTTGGTACTCCGCCATCATCAGGCGAAACAGGTAAATCAATCAACGAGAACAAGATCCGCAGCAATCTCAATCTGGTCTGTGCTGTTGGCCGAGGGAAGGCAGGGGCGCTGGCGCTTCTGAACCGGGAGATCAATCCCGAGCCCATCGGCGTCTTTGACTTTTCCGAGGCACGGGCATTGTGGACCGTGTGCGCGTCCAAGCCGATTCCCAAGACGCTCCAGGGCGAGAAGGGTGGCGCCACGGTTGGCGACGACTACGAATCGCCAGCCCAGTACGACAAGTTTATGATTGTTGCCACGGAAGAGGAGGACGGCTTTGAACGGTCTCACGTCTACGCTGTCACCGGCACCGGCTTTGAAAAACTTACGGGCACCGAGTTTGAACCAGAGGCCGGGTCGACGGTGCATGCCGGCACCATGGGCAAGCACAAGCGCATTATACAGGTCCTCAAGTCCGAAGTGCGGTGTTACGATGGAGGTAAGCTTATATCGCCCTTTCTTGCTTTCATCCTTTTTGCATCCTTTTCTCCCGTTTGCTAATCTTTGCAGACCTTGGTTTATCGCAGATTCTTCCTATGGTGGACGAAGACACCGACGTCGAGCTCAAGATTTTGAGCTCAAGCATGACCGATGAATATCTGTTGGTGATCCGTGACGACGCAAGCGCGTTTGTTGCGAAGATGAACAAAGACTTTGAGCTTGAGGAGCTCGAGCGGGAAGACGAGCCGCTGACTTCGACGAAGTGGGCAACAGGCTGTCTTTATCACGACACGATGGGTGCCTTCTCTGACAACGCCAGTGGAGAGGGGAACATTCTGATGTTCCTGCTTAGTGAAGCGGGACAATTTCATGTAAGAGACCGTTTCCATGCCTACTTTTAATTGACCGTGCTGCTTTGTCTCATGCCGCTAATTAATATCCTTCCAGATCTACTCACTCCCCTCCCTCAAGCAATTATACGTTGCAGACGGCCTCAGCTACATACCTCCTCTCTTGTCGGCAGACTACACGGCGAGACGGGGCACGACGAGGGAGGAGCTGACAGAGCTTCTGGTGGCCGACCTGGGTGACACGGTCGCCAAGTCGCCGTACCTGATCCTCCGCCACTCCAACGACGACCTGACCATCTACCAGCCGATCCGGGCGAGCGCGGCTTCGGCGCCAGAAACACTCGCAAAAAGCCTCCGCTTCTTGAAAGTACCAAACGGCGCCTTTGCAAAAGCGCCACCTGTACCTCCTCCGTCACAAGATGAAAACAGCCCTCCGCCCCGCATCATGCCGCTGCGTGCTTTTGCCAACATTGGTGGCTACAGCACCGTCTTCCTCCCCGGCGCCTCACCCAGCTTTGTTCTCAAGTCGGCCAAGTCGTTGCCCAGAGTGCTCAACCTCCAAGGCAGCGCCGTCCGGAGTCTCAGTTCGTTCCACACGCAAGGATCCGAGCGCGGATTTATCTATGTCGATGCCGAGGGATCCAGTCGAGTGTGCTCTCTGCCTGCGGGCACCAGGTTTGCGGAGCTAGGCGTATGCGTACGCAAGGTCCCACTCAATGTCGATACCAACACCGTCGCGTACCACCCGCCGGCCGAGGTATACGCAGTGGGCGCTAGCACACTCGTCGACTTTGAGCTGCCCAGGGACGAAAACCACCGGGCTGAGTGGGCCAAAGAGAACATCTCGTTCAAGCCGCAAGTCGAACAGGGCCGGCTGCAGCTCATCAGCCCCGTCAACTGGACGGTCATTGACACGGCGGAGATGGAGCAGTATGAGGTAATTATGTGCGTCAAGACGCTCAATCTGGAAGTGTCCGAGTCAACCAACGAGCGCAAGCAGCTGGTCACGGTCGGCACGGCCATCTCGCGCGGCGAGGACCTGGCCATCCGCGGCCGCGTGTACGTGTACGACGTGGTGACTGTGATTCCGGAGCCCGGGCGGCCAGAGACGAACCGCAAACTCAAGCTGGTGGCCAAGGAGGATATTCCCCGCGGCGCCGTGACGGCGCTCTCGGAAATTGGCACACAAGGGTTAATGCTGGTGGCGCAGGGGCAAAAGTGCCTGGTGCGCGGTCTCAAAGAAGACGGCACGCTTCTGCCAGTGGCGTTTATGGATATGAACTGCTACGTCACGAGCGCCAAGGAGCTGCCGGGGACCGGCCTGTGCGTAATGGCGGACGCGTTCAAGGGCGTGTGGTTCACGGGGTACACGGAGGAGCCGTACAAGATGATTTTGTTTGGCAAGAGCAACACGCGGCTAGGGGCCATCAACGTGGACCTGCTGCCCGACGGCAAAGAGCTGTTCATTGTGGCGACCGATGGCGAGGGCAACCTCCATGTCCTGCAATTTGAACCGGAGCGTGAGTATTTGCCGTCCTTGTCAACAACTGAGTGACTACTTGTTGCACCAAGTACTAACAAACATGTCCAGATCCCAAATCACTGCAGGGCCACCTTCTGCTGCACCGGGCCACATTCTGTACAGGTGCGCACTTTGCCACAAGCTCGATGCTACTGCCGTCAACGCCAGTGAACGACGACGACGCTGCTGCAAGCGTACACCCCAATGGTCACCCCAATGGTCACCACAATGGTCACCCCAACGGGGATGAAAACGGGGGTGCAGACGTCGCCATGGCAGTCGACGACGACGACGAGCGCCAGGCCGGACATCCACCCGCGCAGCATCTGTTGATGGCCAGCCCCACGGGCGTGCTCGCCTCTCTGGCGCCACTGTCCGAGTCCGAGTACCGCCGGCTATCGTCACTGGCCGCGCAAATGGCCACGTCGCTGACGCACACTGCCGGCCTCAACCCAAAGGGCTATCGCTTGGCGGCTGGCGCGGCCGACGATGCGGCCATTGAGGCGCCTGGCGTGGACGCCGCCGTGGGCCGCAGCGTCGTGGACGGTGCGCTGCTGGCGCGGTGGGTGGAGCTGGGGTCCGGGCGGAAGAGCGAGATTGCCGGGCGCGTAGGCTTTGCCAGCGCGCTGGATGCCCGGGCGGCGCTTGAGGGCGTCCTGGGCTGGTCGCGGATGTCGTACTTCTAAGGGTCGGCGAGAACAATGTGCCTTTCATCTTTCATCTGACTGTAAAATAGTACGCCATGCGATCTGGGAGTTTGAAAATAAAGGTGACTTTGAAGAGTGAAACGATTCCAGTCCTGCGTTTTTCTGTACAGACTGTAAGGTGTTATATATACAACTAGCATATCAGGGTGCTTCTCCGATGTATTCATGTTGCTTAATTTGTTGGTTATTTTCGATTTAAATGAACTAATTTATTAATTATTTCTACGAAATAAATACTAAACATAAGGAGCTTAAAAGCTTTTATTTTACTACTAGCAGACAGAAGCGAGACAAATGCATTTATTGGATGTAAAAGAACGTAAAAATATAAACCAGCCACGAGTCCTTTGGTATATCATCCTTCATATTACATTGTTCAAAACGAGGCCGTATCATCATACATTGCATTGGCATCTCATTGGCTATTGGCAGCCGGTCGTTGCTGATAGTGGCGCTAGTCCATATTTGGGAGTTTCCAGAAAATTTAGCGTCTCCCCCGCATGAATTGGAAAGAAGGTGAGGAAGGTCAAAAATGGGAAGGAGCCGCCAACAAGACGGCACAAACTGGCGTTAAAATCTCGAGCTGCGCGAAACAGACGCGAAAAGGGGCATACAAAGGGGAAATTAAAGAGCCACAGCGCGTTCCCGACGAGACACGCCACTTTAGCGATCGGTCCCCTCTTTTTGTTTCTTGACAACGTTGCTGTCGGCATTGCAAGAGAGTGGGGGTGTTTGCGCTGTCCTGTGTTCTGGCGTCTTCCTATTTGCCTCTGTTGATTTCGGGATTCCGTATCCTCTCTTTTGGCATCTTTTGTTGACCTGTTTTCCTGGCTCATTGCATTGTGGCCTTGCTTGTCGGCCTTTCTTTTGGGCTACAGCCTTGCATCACCCTCCACATTGACCATTGAGGTACGTCTGGACCCCGTGCCACTGCCTGTTCCCCCACCGCAGCGTCTTGCGCCCTCCTCTTGTCTAACATCCGTTCAAGTCTGCCGACATCTTGCGGTTCACACTCTTCTTTATAGCAATCACACATCATCCGCCATGTCGTGGATCGCAGCCAACGGCGCGCAACGAGCGGCCGCGGCCGCATGTTATGGCTGCCTCGTGAACGGTGCAGCGCCGGCCGTCGTAGTCGCACGGCAGGGAGCTCAAACTGGGTCGTCGCCTGCTGCTGTCCGATTTGCGTCCTCGTCATCGTCCTCTTCTTCCTCGACAACCAAGCCCCGCGCCACACGCACGTCGCGCGCTACTTCAGCGGCGGCGGAGGCCGTGCCGACAAGCACGGCAGCCGCGACGACGCGGAAGCGCGCCGGCAGCAAGGTGGCGACGGCAGCGGCGGCGGCCGCCGCCGCAGCAGAGGATCCTTCTACGACAGCGGGACCAGTAAAGGCGACACGGGGCAGAAAGAAGAAGGAAGCCGAGCCGGTAGCCGAAGCCGACACAACAGAAGCCGCACCGGCACTTGTAAAGAAGACGAGAGCCTCGGCATCCAAGGCGGCGGGCGCAACGCCGACTAAGACGACATCAACAAGAAAGAAGGCGGCTGCAGCGACAGCGACAGCAACAGAGCCAACAGCAGAGATTGCAACTCCTGCCAAGGCGGCAGCACCAATAACGCCCCTGTCAGTCAAGCCAATGACGGCCAGCAGCACGACAACAAGGAGAACGGCTTCGAAGAAAGCGGCTGCGGCATCTGTTTCTGTGACTGCTGCCTCGGCCCCTGCGATACCCACGCCGCGCTTTGCGGCAGCTTCAAAGGCCGCACAGACACCACCATCACCGCCGCCTTCTGCCCAGCAGACTGCATATGCGGCCGCCAGCCAGGAAGAGGCCTTGGCCGAGCTGAAGCGCCTGCGCCTGGCAGCGGCGCCACCGACGACGCCGCGCCCGCCACCCATGTCGGCAGCGGCTGCGCGGTCGGCTGCTGCGGCCATGGTCTCGGCGACATCTTCTGCCACGCCCCCGCCTGCTGCTCCTGGGCGGGCCCGCCTTACACTAAGCGCCGAAGAGAAGGAGCCGTTCTACGACGGCGGCGATGTCGGTGGCGGCGGTGCTACGGCGGCGCCTAATATTGCCGACACGCCCGAGTATAAGAAGGCGACGCGGCAGTGGACGTCGCTGATTGTGGCAATGCCCATTTTCTTGGTGACATCGTACTACCTGTTTGATCGATGTAGGTGTTCTCTTTTCTCTCTTGGCTTTGAGATGATCCCCTTCTAACGTTCTGCAGTGGCCCTTGGTAATGTGCCGACGGACCTGACGGCGTACCGCGACAAGCTGCAGCAGGCAGTGGACCAGCTCGGCGAGGCGGCCACCACGGCGCTGGGCGGCGAGAACAACCCGGCCGCCTCGAGGGCGAGCGAGTTTGCTGAGGAAGATGCCAGCAGAGACGAGAAGAAGTAACTGTGGGAGAGAAGGGCGGCTTTCGGCCTTATTTTTTTGTACGAATACGTTGACGATAACGACCGATCACGACTCTGTTCCTACACCACATTACAGACAAAAGGTGCGCATGGCGAACATGCACCGATGCGTATCTTTCGAACACGATGCCCGAGAGGAGCAAAGCTTCCGTCTCGCCACTCCATTTTTCCGACTTTGTCCATGTTCACCGCTTGCATTTGTGATATTGTGTCTTGTAACATCATCTTGGCAACCTTCATGAGCTGTAATAGCTCACATGCCTAACGTGTAAATGGTATGAACGTAGGACAAAGCACCAGCCATTGAGCCAAGTGATGACGGCTTCTCTGACGAGTTGTCGGGAACTCATTGTGGCAAAAGGGAATAGTGAATCAAAATTAATGTGTACACTGCTGTATGCACGATCTATGCGCCCACGGAGAATAAATACTCAGAGAGAGTGGCTAAAGTACGAGGATCGTAGGCTAGCAAGCTGGCAAAGGCTGCTTTTGAGGATCAACCAGCCTACGAGTCAAAACGAAGGATTGTTTTAGGGGAAGCACACCTGGTGCCGGCTGAGTTGTCCCGGCGCCAAGGTCAGTGACAGCTGTTTCAGTGAAGAATATGTGTAGAGTCTCAGATTGTGTAGCAATCAAGGCCACTGACCAAGGCTCTTTTCGTTCAGCATCCCATCGTTCTGCGTCTTTATCGATATACAATGTTTCTTTCATATATATGCGTATGTACAGAGGAACCACTAACGAAGAAAGGGACTAAAAAGCAAGTAAGTATATAACGAAACAACAAAGCAAAAGCTCTTATCTAAAACCATAAACCCGATTCGATGTAGAAGAAGCTTGGATGACTTTATGAACCGTGTTCGAATGGTCTGGGTTGACTACCTTTTCCATGAGATGTCCTTGGTCGTATCTTTTCACTCTTGTTTGCCTCATCTCCCTCTCCATTCCGTCTACAGCTTCGACTTGTTGCCCGCGGTGCGCTTCCGCATAATCTCGGCCGCGTCCCGCTTGGCCCAGTCGCGCATCGTCTTGCGCTGGATCTTGCCCGACGCCAGCTTCGGCACCTCGTCCACGTAGACCACGCCGCCTGTCAGCCGCTTGTGCTTGGCTACCCGCGATGCCATCCACGCCTGGATGTCCCCGGGCGTCACCTTGCCCTTGGATGTCTCATGGATCGTCACGTATGCCCGCGGGAACTCCTCGCCGTTGAGCGTGATGCCGGTCACCGCCGCATCCGCCACGTGGTCGTTCTCGAGCAGCACGCCCTCAAGCTCCGCCGGCGCCACTTGCAGCGCATTGACCTTGATCAGCTCCTTCTTCCGGTCCACAATCCAAAAGTAGCCTTCCTTGTTGCACACGGCAATGTCGCCCGTCTTCAGCCAGCCGTCGGGCGCCAGGCACTCCTTGGTCGCCTCCTCGTTGCGCCAGTAGCCCAGGCAGATGTTGGGACCGCGCACGTGCAGCTCGCCCGGCTCGCCCAGCTTCACCTCCTTGCCGTCTTCGTCGACCAAGCGGCACTCGCAGTTGGGGTCCAGCCGGCCCACGCTGCCCGAGTTGTCCTTGACGCCGCCGGGCACATGGATCGCGCCGCACGTCACCTCCGTCATGCCCCAGCCCTGGTTGATCTGCATGTTGAAGCGGCGCTGGCACTCGTTCTGCAGCTCGCGGCTGAGCGGCGCGGCGCCGCAGAGCACGTCGCGCACCGATCGCAGGTCGTAGCGCTGCGTCTCGGGCCGCTTCGAGAGCATGACGAGAATGGGTGGCGCGATCTGCAGACTGGTAATCTGAAACTTGCCAACGTTGAACAGAAACTCCTCATACCGGAACTCGGTCATGATGTAGATGGGCACACGCAGCTTGATGGCCATCAGGATCGTGTACAGCTGGCCGTACGCGTGGTACAGTGGCAGGAAGCCGATCCAGCGCTCCTGTGGGCGGTCCTTGAAGGCGTACGGCTTGTGCGCGTACCGGATGAAGATGGTCTGGTCGACGTTGGCGATTAGGTTGGCGTGCGAGACCATGACGCCCTTGGGCAGACCGGTCGTGCCGGAGCTGTAGTTGATGGTGGCCACGGTCGTCTTGGACTCGGATGGTGCCAGCTCGGGCCAGTTGTAGCGTGCGGCATCGGCATCGGAGCCCGCAAGTCCCTGGCGCCAGTCGACCACGCCTTGCACCGGCGTTTTGTTCTCGAGGTCTGAGAACAAAAAGATGTTGGACTTGGGAATGCCGGCCTTGCTGGCGCTCTGAAGAGCGGCATCAACGAGGCTCGGGTGGACGAGCACGACCTTGGCCTGGGTGTTGGTCATCTGGTGAACAACCTCAGGTACAGTGTAGCCGGGGTTGGTGCCGCTGAAGATGTAGCCGGCGCCGACAATGCCCAGGTAGGCGACGGGCACGAAGATCTGGTTGGGCGTGAAGATCATGACAACATCGCCGCGCTTGAGGCCGAATCGCTCGAGGCCAAAGGCCAGCTTCTTGACCCATGTTAGAGCCTGGGCTGGCGACAGGTTCTTGTCGACGGGGTCCCGCGTGTCATACCACAGAGGTTCTTCCTGCGGCTTCTCGTTCTCAGGGAACAAATAGGAGAGGATGTTGGTTTGGGGGATGTCCAGGTCTGGGTAGAGCGATGTGTACGGCATCTTGGCGGTGAGGTAAGGTTTGGCGAGGCGCAAAGTGAGAGAAGACCGGGTATCAAAGGTGAGGAGGTGAGATGGGAGGAGAAAAAGGAAAAGAAAAGGACCTCTCGTCGTTGTTATGTCAGAATGCCAGAGTCCAAGGTTAAAAAAAGAACGATATAAAAGAGGCAACAACAGAAAACCAAAGAAATGGAAACGCGACAGGCAAAGTTCGTGATGGGAACATGCAACACCAGCCGACTAGGCAAACAAAAAGCGAGGTAGTGAAAGGTAAGTAGTACCCCCAAAAAGTATAACGCTGCTCTGAGCTACCTAACATAAAACAAAGCGGCCGTTAAGACAACATAAAACAGGGGACAATGGAGCAACAGCTTACTCGCCGCGGAAAAGGCACCAGGAATTGCGGAGAGACGGCTCATGGGCCCAGCTGTCAGGAAAAGGGAACCAGCAGCAGATCCGGCAATATGCGGCCCCTCTTGAGGTGATAGAGACAAAATCAGAACAAGAAATCGCATACAGTAGACCAAAGAGCTCAGAGAGCACGGAGTGCAGTTGTCTCGGAGGACTAGAGGCCGAGTGTAGGAGCACTTGAGTCACGAAGTAAACCAGTCCGCCAGGTGAGGAAGAGAAGCTGCAGCGAAGAGAAGCAAACAGAGGATGACAGACAAGATAGCCACTGCAGACGGATCTCACTCAACCATACAAGGAACGGCAGCGGAGATCATATCCGGTTATGAGGTCCATTGAGAAATTGGAGAAGCAGAGTCGGCAGTGGGCGGACAGAACCGTTCCTGTGGCCTACGACGACCGCGGGCCCAGCCTGCACTGTCTAACTGTGTATCTCGTTCGCCGGCCATCATACTCCGCGGTCGTTGGGGTTGTCGGTCTATGTGGAGAGGCTCTGGTGTCTGGGAAAGGCGAAGACTGGCGACAGGAGAGAGGGATGGTACTGTTTTCCCGTCGGGATATCGGGGCTATGTCGGTTGTGGCGAGGCAAGGTGGATTCTGGCATGGAAGGAGACACAGAACACAAAGAGAGGAAGGTGCAACGGACAGTGGCTGGAAAAGGGTGGAGGCTGCACCAAACGGCAGGTGCGACTGTGTGAATGTGTTTGTCCTCTGGAGACATTGGGGAAGGAGGCACCGAGGTGCCAGGCCCAATCTGCAAACTAACCGGCAACTACCACGGTAAGTTGCAGCGGCGGGAGACTACTGAAGGAACAAGCGTCCCAGGTGGCGTGTGTGGTGTTAGTCTGCCGCGGCGCCCCCATCGCGCGACCCAGTTTACTGAATCAATGCGTGGAGAAGACCGCCACTAACACGGCCTGACCACCAACTGACAACAAGGAGAGGAGGCAGAGCAACCGCACCTGCCTGGGCTGGAGAAAAGAAAGTTACGCAGCACGGAAGGTGCGAATGCGCATGCACACTTGCGTTTTTGAGAATTAGTAGTAACATAGAGCATCCATGCGTTCCGTATTTTGACCTCCCTTTGGTGTCCTCTTTTTGTCCTTCTCTTGTTCTCTCATTGTCCTCCAACATTTCACCTCGCATGCTCTCGCCGCACGACCCCTCCCCCCCCCCCCCCT